TAAAAATGTCATATAGTATAGTAAGGCGTAAAAAGTCATAAAAATGTCATATAGTATAGTAAGGCGTAAAAAGTCATAAAAATGTCATATAGTATAGTAAGGCGTAAAAAGTCATAAAAATGTCATATAGTATAGTAAGGCGTAAAAAGTCATAAAAATGTCATATAGTATAGTAAGGCGTAAAAAGTCATAAAAATGTCATATAGTATAGTAAGGCGTAAAAAGTCATAAAAATGTCATATAGTATAGTAAGGCGTAAAAAGTCATAAAAATGTCATATAGTATAGTAAGGCGTAAAAAGTCATAAAAATGTCATATAGTATAGTAAGGCGTAAAAAGTCATAAAAATGTCATATAGTATAGTAAGGCGTAAAAAGTCATAAAAATGTCATATAGTATAGTAAGGCGTAAAAAGTCATAAAAATGTCATATAGTATAGTAAGGCGTAAAAAGTCATAAAAATGTCATATAGTATAGTAAGGCGTAAAAAGTCATAAAAATGTCATATAGTATAGTAAGGCGTAAAAAGTCATAAAAATGTCATATAGTATAGTAAGGCGTAAAAAGTCATAAAAATGTCATATAGTATAGTAAGGCGTAAAAAGTCATAAAAATGTCATATAGTATAGTAAGGCGTAAAAAGTCATAAAAATGTCATATAGTATAGTAAGGCGTAAAAAGTCATAAAAATGTCATATAGTATAGTAAGGCGTAAAAAGTCATAAAAATGTCATATAGTATAGTAAGGCGTAAAAAGTCATAAAAATGTCATATAGTATAGTAAGGCGTAAAAAGTCATAAAAATGTCATATAGTATAGTAAGGCGTAAAAAGTCATAAAAATGTCATATAGTATAGTAAGGCGTAAAAAGTCATAAAAATGTCATATAGTATAGTAAGGCGTAAAAAGTCATAAAAATGTCATATAGTATAGTAAGGCGTAAAAAGTCATAAAAATGTCATATAGTATAGTAAGGCGTAAAAAGTCATAAAAATGTCATATAGTATAGTAAGGCGTAAAAAGTCATAAAAATGTCATATAGTATAGTAAGGCGTAAAAAGTCATAAAAATGTCATATAGTATAGTAAGGCGTAAAAAGTCATAAAAATGTCATATAGTATAGTAAGGCGTAAAAAGTCATAAAAATGTCATATAGTATAGTAAGGCGTAAAAAGTCATAAAAATGTCATATAGTATAGTAAGGCGTAAAAAGTCATAAAAATGTCATATAGTATAGTAAGGCGTAAAAAGTCATAAAAATGTCATATAGTATAGTAAGGCGTAAAAAGTCATAAAAATGTCATATAGTATAGTAAGGCGTAAAAAGTCATAAAAATGTCATATAGTATAGTAAGGCGTAAAAAGTCATAAAAATGTCATATAGTATAGTAAGGCGTAAAAAGTCATAAAAATGTCATATAGTATAGTAAGGCGTAAAAAGTCATAAAAATGTCATATAGTATAGTAAGGCGTAAAAAGTCATAAAAATGTCATATAGTATAGTAAGGCGTAAAAAGTCATAAAAATGTCATATAGTATAGTAAGGCGTAAAAAGTCATAAAAATGTCATATAGTATAGTAAGGCGTAAAAAGTCATAAAAATGTCATATAGTATAGTAAGGCGTAAAAAGTCATAAAAATGTCATATAGTATAGTAAGGCGTAAAAAGTCATAAAAATGTCATATAGTATAGTAAGGCGTAAAAAGTCATAAAAATGTCATATAGTATAGTAAGGCGTAAAAAGTCATAAAAATGTCATATAGTATAGTAAGGCGTAAAAAGTCATAAAAATGTCATATAGTATAGTAAGGCGTAAAAAGTCATAAAAATGTCATATAGTATAGTAAGGCGTAAAAAGTCATAAAAATGTCATATAGTATAGTAAGGCGTAAAAAGTCATAAAAATGTCATATAGTATAGTAAGGCGTAAAAAGTCATAAAAATGTCATATAGTATAGTAAGGCGTAAAAAGTCATAAAAATGTCATATAGTATAGTAAGGCGTAAAAAGTCATAAAAATGTCATATAGTATAGTAAGGCGTAAAAAGTCATAAAAATGTCATATAGTATAGTAAGGCGTAAAAAGTCATAAAAATGTCATATAGTATAGTAAGGCGTAAAAAGTCATAAAAATGTCATATAGTATAGTAAGGCGTAAAAAGTCATAAAAATGTCATATAGTATAGTAAGGCGTAAAAAGTCATAAAAATGTCATATAGTATAGTAAGGCGTAAAAAGTCATAAAAATGTCATATAGTATAGTAAGGCGTAAAAAGTCATAAAAGCGTCATAGTATAGTACGGCATAAAAAGTCATGAAAACATCATAGTATAATAAGGCATAAAAACGACATAGTATAGTAAGGCATAAAAAGTCTTCAAAATGTTATATTATAGTAAGGCATAAAAAGTCACAAAAACGACATAGTATAGTAAGGCATAAAAAGTCATAAAAACGTCATAGTATAGTAAGGCATAAAAACGTCATAGTATAGTAAGGCATAAAAACGTCATAGTATAGTAAGGCATAAAAAGTCATAAAAACGACATAGTATAGTAAGGCATAAAAAGTCATAGTACAGTAAGGAATTCAAAGTCATAGTATAGTAAGGCATACAAAGTCATAAAAACATAATAGTATCGTAAGGCATAAGAAGTCATTAAAACGTCATAGTATAGTAAGGCATAAAAAGTCATAAAAACGACATAGTATAGTAAGGCATAAAAAGTCATAGTACAGTAAGGAATTCAAAGTCATAGTATAGTAAGGCATACAAAGTCATAAAAACATAATAGTATCGTAAGGCATAAGAAGTCATTAAAACGTCATAGTATAGTAAGGCATAAAAAGTCATAAAAACGACATAGTATAGTAAGGCATAAAAAGTCATAGTACAGTAAGGAATTCAAAGTCATAGTATAGTAAGGCATACAAAGTCATAAAAACATAATAGTATCGTAAGGCATAAGAAGTCATTAAAACGTCATAGTATAGTAAGGCATAAAAAGTCATAAAAACGACATAGTATAGTAAGGCATAAAAAGTCATAGTACAGTAAGGAATTCAAAGTCATAGTATAGTAAGGCATACAAAGTCATAAAAACATAATAGTATCGTAAGGCATAAGAAGTCATTAAAACGTCATAGTATAGTAAGGCATAAAAAGTCATAAAAACGACATAGTATAGTAAGGCATAAAAAGTCATAGTACAGTAAGGAATTCAAAGTCATAGTATAGTAAGGCATACAAAGTCATAAAAACATAATAGTATCGTAAGGCATAAGAAGTCATTAAAACGTCATAGTATAGTAAGGCATAAAAAGTCATAAAAACGACATAGTATAGTAAGGCATAAAAAGTCATAGTACAGTAAGGAATTCAAAGTCATAGTATAGTAAGGCATACAAAGTCATAAAAACATAATAGTATCGTAAGGCATAAGAAGTCATTAAAACGTCATAGTATAGTAAGGCATAAAAAGTCATAAAAACGACATAGTATAGTAAGGCATAAAAAGTCATAGTACAGTAAGGAATTCAAAGTCATAGTATAGTAAGGCATACAAAGTCATAAAAACATAATAGTATCGTAAGGCATAAAAAGTCATTAAAACGTCATAGTATAGTAAGGCATAAAAAGTCATAAAAACGACATAGTATAGTAAGGCATAAAAAGTCACAAAAACGTCATAGTATAGTAAGGCATAAAAAGTCATAAAAACGTCATAGTATGTTAAGGCTTAAAAAGTCATAAAAATCTCATATTATAGGAGGGCATAAAATGTCATAAAAATATCATATTAAAATAAGGCATAAAAACCTCAAAAAAAACATCATAGTATAGTGTGGCATAAAAACATCAAAAAATGTCACAGTATAGAAGGGCATAAAATATCATAAAATCGTCATCTTATAGTAAGGCATAAAAATTCATAGTACAAAAAGGCATAAATTATCAAATACAACAAAGTATAGTAAGGAATAAAAAAGTCAAAAACAGCCGTAGTATAATAAAGCATAAAAATGCCAAAAAATGTCACAGTATAGTTGGGTATAAAATACCATAAAAACTTAATAGTACAGTATGACATTCAAATATCAAATACAAAGTATAGTAAGCCATTAAATTTCATAAAAATGTCATAATATAGTAATGCATAAAAACATCAAAAACAGTCATAGTATATATAATAAGTATAAAAACTTCAAAAAACATGATAGTATAGTAAGGCATAAAAACATCAGAAAATGTCATAGCATAGAAGGGCATAAAATATCATAAAACCGTCATAGTATAGTAGGGCATAAAAACAACAAACAACATCATAGTACAGTAAGGCATAAAATGTCATAAAAACTTTATAGTACATTAAGGCATGAATAAACGTCAAATATGACATAGTATAGTAAGGCATAATAAGGTCAAAAAACGTCATAGTATACTCTATACAGGGAGAACATGCAAATTCCACATAGAAAGGCCCCATGCTTGGAGCTTGAACCCACAACATTCTCACTGTGAGGAGACAGTCCAAACAACTTTTCCATCATTACGACTCATAAATAAATCATCCTATACTAAGGCATAAAAAGTTAACAGTATAGTAATGCATAAAAAAAGTTATGGTATGGTAAATCATAAAAATGTCATAGTATAGTGAGGAATAAAAAAGGAATAAAAAAGGAATTTTATAGAAAGGCATAAAAATGTCATAGAAACAACATAAAAGGCAAAAAAAAGTCAAAATATTAATGCATAAAAATGTTACAGTATAGTTAGGCATAAAAAGTCGTAGTATAGTAGGGTATAAAAAGGTCATAGTATAGTAAGGCATTACAGTTGCAAATACCTGGCTTTCCACCACTGACTATTGACAGAGCACAGCTAGGGCGTTTAACTTGATTTGATCAGTGACTGGGTAATGCTGCAGTACCTCCTCCAAACCACAAGATGATGGTATAAAAATTGTTCATTAAATAAATGGAAGAAACTCAAGAGTCGTTGGTTTGCTTGCTAAATTTGTGCCGGGAGTTTTCTTTTTCGGGCTGACTGTTACCATCGAGCAAATTACTTGAAAATGTTTCGTCTTGATATTTTGTGTCATACCCTGACTCTGTGAGACTTTCTGTGGCCTCGTCACTTTGTTGCAGCAGCAGCCATCGTGGTGGTGCAAGTCGTTTTTGTTCAAGTGGTTGGTTAAATTTCTTCACATGAAAATGTCAGTTGATAAAGACGAAACACTTCAGGTAAGAAAAGTTATAGATTTAGAAAATAACATTAACTTAGTTTTAACTATTAGCTGTGGGGACAGAGATGCTAGGGCGCTCATCGACTCATAATGTTGATTTTAACAAAAACTTAAATTAAAAATTATTCAAGTTTTAATTGGTTTATCCATTCGTCGTTCTGCTGCCAGTCTCAGTTGTGTCATGGACGGATTGAAAGGCTGACATAGACAAGTTCCTCTCTCCTCCTGTATGGGACCCCCACACTGAAAGAAAGTAATTAGTCACTTTGAGTCTATTTAAATTTTTTGTGGTCTTTTGAGTGTCTTATGACATTACTTCGAACAGAAGCTCTGGCTGAAGTATGTAGCACCTTCTTGATTTCTTTTAATCTGATATGTTTTGAATTTTAGAGGTTAAAGGCAGCAGTACACTATACTGTGGGTCGTCTGTGTCAGAAGACGGGAGAGGACCACCGGAGAGAGTTCAGTCGACAAGTCGTAGCAGCAATAGCTGAGACAACATTCAGACAATGCGGTGGGTGTCAACAAAGATACTAGTTTCATCCTGTCCCATGACACATGCAGTAAAAAATACATTAAAACTCACAGGCATGAATTTAAAACTCCTAGTTCAAACTCACAGGGACAAGTTTTAATACATAAAACATGAATACATAAGACACATAATTAGTCTTTTTAGTGAGGTGTTTAACTCATTGGCTAGACCTCCACAAAGGTCTGTTTGACCACATAACTTCTGGAAAAGGGCTGCAGAGAATCAACAGAGATGTGCTACCTTTGAGAATAAGTTACAGAAACAAGTAAGAAATCTTACAGTGTGCTTCAATATATTTTATTTTTGACTTTTTTCAGAGTAATTCCAAAATGCACAAAATAAAACTAAAGTAATTCTAGTAATGTAATACAAAAAGCATGTATATACACCATACACACATGTACAAGATAGCTGCTACTGTAATTCAGATTTACAATCAGTGTAAAGCTGGGCCTCACAACGCTGTATTCTGCATTTGGCCAAAATTTACCACATCACACCTTCTGTCCTCTCATAGCAAAAGGATCTTTGTATGCCCCATTTACCCCCTCTGCTGATATGTTCAATCATCCAGCATTCATTGCATTGCCACCACACATAGCATACTCCTCTCCATCTCCTGACCACTCCTCTGTCAGCCACATGTGTGGCTGAATCAGTGTACATATAAAAACTTTTTGAACAGATCCTTCATACATATAATTTGAAAAACAAAATCACCTGAATAGGTCTTCAGCTGAAGGGGGAATTTTTTTCCCCCCAAGTTGAAGATGCAAAATGTTAACAGTAAAATGTTGCAAATTGTGTTGTTATTTAAAAAATGGTATGTAAAAATGTGCAAACAGGGCTATAAATTCAGGGATTTGCTGGTGATCTGATTTTCAATTAATTTTGAAAGATGTGATCATGACAGAACAAAAGTTATCCAGTTTAGTTCACATAGACTCAGAAATACATTTAATTACTGTTACTGTAACTGCGGTTTTTATCAATTAATCTGTCAGTTATTTTCTCAGTTAATAGATTAGTCATTTGGTCAGTAAAATGTCCATATACTGTGAAAAATGTCCATCCAAACTTCCCAAAGTGATGTCTTCAAATGTCGTTTTGTCCAATAAACAGTCCAAAACCCAAACATATTGAGTTTATCGTCATAGAATGCTACAAAACCACAAATTATTCACATCAGAGATGCTGAAACCAGAGAATTTTGACATATTTTCTTAAAAAATGACAATCAATTATCAAAATAGTCTCATTATTTTTTTGTCAATGGATTCATCAACGAATAGTTCCTCTATATGTAACTAACTAAAAAAAATATTCTGAATGTTATTAACGATATTCATTATAATGCAGTTTGACAATTGCCTTTGGTCAGTCTAAATTCAACATCTCATTGTTAGCATTGACTTTTTTTCAGATATATTTGCCAAAGACCTGGAGGCCTTTGCAAGGTGAGAATCTTTTTTTTTGACCATAAATATATATTAACAGTACTGACCTTTTAATATAGTCAAAATATCTGGGGAGGTCTTTTGTTCCTGTCTTAAACCATCCTTGTAAAACTAGTGTAATGTCTTAACTTTTTCAGGCATGCTAAAAGAAGCACAGTGACTGCAGAAGATGTAAAGCTTGCAGCCCGTCGTAGCACTGCATTGGTGAGTTATTTCCACTGAGGGGAATTATACAGCGCTTAGTTATGTATGCTATCTTCATTTACTGACCAAGTCGGAATGAAACCCATGTACTTAGGCAAGTCATGGTCGGCTGCTCAAAAACATTGTAATTTCATCCTAAAAATGCAGTAGTACACTGTAACTGTGTAGGGGTATATATTTTACAGCAGACAGCAAACTTAATGTTTAATTTATCTTTATTCATTTCAGTCCATCTACATACAAAATAAAAGTGAAGAACTGAACCAGGAGCAGAAGGATTTGAAAAAGAAGAATACTGGGAAGAGGAAGAGCAGAGAAACTGAGGAGGAAAGCAGAGAATAAGGACAAGACACAGGCAGACCTGCAGTGTCTCACTTGTGCCCAACATTCAAATAAACATGAAAGCTGACTAATACATGACAATTCGTTAAGTGTCATCAAATGCCAATGTCATTCTTTTATGGTTGTGTTTCAGCTGTAATTTTTCTTACAATTACAGTAATTCCATCATAACTTTCTGAACGTTTAGACAAATAACTTATCTATTCAGGGACCAGCTAATGAAATGTCAGATAATAGTACATTTGGCACTGGTGAAAAAGACCAAATGACCAGTGCTAAACAACTGCTAAACAATTTTTTAAGCATTGCCAAAGTGGCACTTACTACACAGATTCTAAAGATGACTTAATCTTGCATTTAAGTGGTTTAAACTGTTAGTTATCTACCTAACGTGTTTCTCCTTTAAAGTGCAAGAATTATTGATATGATTTGCACTTAGGGACAATTTGAGACTTTTCAGACTGGCGAATTACCCATAACGTACAAGCTCATCTACAAATCCCCATCACCAATTCCAAGGCTCAGCAATGTGTCATTACTCCTTCAGCCACATTGGGGACAGACATCGTTCAGAGGGGTGATGCCACATTGCTGAGCTCATCTGTTTAAGGTTAAAAGAAAGACAAAGACCCCCCCCAATAACTTCCATCTAACCTTAAATGTATCTGTGAAAAATATAAAGGATAATTCACTCTGACAAGCCATTAAAAGCAGCAAAAAGACAGGTACTACCCCATGTCATGTCTGAGAAGGCCACACACTGAAAGTGTTGGAACTTCCGTCTTCGTCCTTCAGAACAGACTTCAGTCAGGGTTCAAACGGAGACCTCGACCAGCAGAGCCCAAGGTCCCTAGATATGTGAATCGAATTAGATTTGTTTTTTTATTTGACAAATTGACTCAAGTAATATCAACTAAGCATCTATTCAAATGAACTTTATTAGAGAACTCCCTTCATTTGACATGTTTTTAAACACCCCACAAACAACAAGAGCTACTGGGAACCATTGGACACACCACTCCACGTTCTCACACTATCACTCGCGTCCCCCAGAGTCTTCAGCAGGTGTCATCCACATCAAGTACACACTTACAGATCAGTTCGGTAACATGAAAGCACACACCATACAGCATTCAAATCAGATAATATAAGCAATACAAATATTCATCACAACATTCCACTACATTTTGATATTTCTGCACTTGATCGACATACTTAAGAGTAAGGAAAAACTTGCAAAGATTAAAAAAAAAAATCTTGAAGTACTAATTAAAGAATGTCCATGTTAGGGGAGGCGCTCGTAGCATCTGCAGCTTCCACTCACACACTCAAAAAGCAGTCAAATTGGGCTCTTTCACCGCACAACCAGTCCGTTACACGCGTCTCTCCGTTCGCTCACTCATCGCTTCACTCTTCGCCACAAGCCATCCTCAATCGCACTCATCAGTTCTTAAAATGTCAGTTGCGCAGTTCTTTCCATTTAAAAGTGGATAAAAGTGAAAACACCCACCGTCTCTTAGAACATGCGGAGTGAAGCCGTTCTTTGATGGCATAGCATTTACAGGTGGGAAGAGGGAGAATGATACCGATATCACCCCAAGAATGCTGCCAAAGAGGAGCTTCCTCACAGGAAAATGGAAGAGAGGTGAACTGCAGAAGAGATTTCAATGAAGGCTTTTCCACAGAACTTGACTGCAAATAAAGTTGCACTTAAAACATTTAGGTTTCAACCAGATTCTTCCCAATGCAAGATTGCCTTTTAGGTTGATGACAAATCCAGATAATGGTGAATCACAAACATTCATGCATTTTCAAAATGGTTATAATCACATTTCACAATACATGCATTAGAGAATCCAGTTGAAATGGATACAAACAAATGAGACATCAAAAATAGCACTTTAGTCGGACATCCTGGTAAACAATTCACTTCAACACTTTCTAAATTAAATCTTTAGCATTTTTTCCAAATGTACAAAACATCTTCCACAAAAAGTGTTAAGTTTTCAGATACGCATTAACACCAGAAATAAATTTTGAAAAGACTCATCTTTCTCACAATACTTACCATACAAACACTTAACTTACATACCCCACCCAGATGACTTTGACTCCATACTGGACCCAAAACCTGAGCTAAACCCACTACCGCTGGTTGTAGAGTTTGACCCTGTTCCCCAGCCAAGACTGGCTGAGCTGGTGCCGTAGTTGCTGTTGCCTGTACTGAAAGACTGACTCTGGTCCCTACTAGAGCTTGTTCCACTGGAGGTGCTGCCTGAGGTGGATGTCTGCTGCTGGCTAGCCAGCATACCCATCATCCCCCAACTACTCTGCAGAGCAGCCTGAGCAGCAGCCATCATAGCAGGGTTCAGACTGAAGGAGCCAAAATTAGCCAGACTACTGTTAGTGCTGCTCCCTAACCCACTACGGCTGCTACCAAATGCTTGCGCTCCAAAACCATTCCCAAACCGTGCTGTACGGTCAAACTGCCTATTGCCATGTTTGGGTTCAGCATTTGAGATATGAACGCTGACACCTTTGATAATTAAGTCCTCTCCACAGAGAGACTGGGCAACCTGTGAGAAAAAAAAAGACATGAATCAGATCATCTGGACATGGGTACCACTAAAACAAGGTCACTTTCTACACACTCAATACTATACCTGATCATCTGCAAATGTGACAAAGGCAAAAGCACGGAATGGCTTGGGAATGAAGACATCTGTGACTTCTCCATACTGCATAAAGAACTGCCGTAGGTCATCTGTGGTCATGTCTTCTGTGCAACGGCCTACAAAAACTTTGCGGCTTCTCAGTGGCTCATCTGGACCTTGCTGTAAACAAAAGGGGGGAAAAAAATACTACAGGTTATAGTGTGTTCACAACAACGTTAACACAATGTTCATTCCCATTATGTGTGGGTATATGCATGGACATTACCATATTCACCTTCGAGTTAGGGAGCTTGCAGTCACACCATCTCCCGTCAATCATATGGCGTTGGGAGATCACCTTTTCTTGAGCCTCATACTCAGTGAACCTCACAAAGCCAAATCCTTTAGAGTTGCCAGTCTTAGCGTCTCGTTTTACCTGGAGGATAAAACAACAATGAATATCAATTGTCACTGCACACAACCCAAAACATAAATGGGTTTTATATCAATACTAGTAATGTTATACCTGAACCATGATGACTTCTCCAAATGTACTGAAATAATCCTTCAAGTCTTGCTCAGTTGTTTTCCAAGGTAGACCCAGTACGATCAGGTCAGATGTCTTCATATCCCCTCTCTTCATTTTCACAGCAGAGGAGGCATCTATTTCATCCATTTTCCTTTTGTTGTCTACATGATCAACAGAGGGGAATTAATTAAAATTTTAGCCTGACAGACAGTGATAAGATATTACTTTCGGCTTCCCACTCATGTAATTTTAGAGGTTGTAGTTGGTGGTGCGAATTACTTGTCTGACATTAGACTTATGGGTGTTTTCTAAAATTCTGACCAGTATAATTCAATGTTTCTTATAATTCAAATCAAAACTTCTCTATAGCAGTTTAACAGTCAACAAAACATATAACCTCTACGAAGATAGTATTTACAGGTTGTCTGTAGGGTCAGCAACTTTCATGTAAGACCTTTAAAACCACATCAATTGCGTTTTCATATCCATTTCACATTCAAACTGAGAAAAGTATGTAAGATTTCAATGAAAACAAGTAGGGATGATTAAGGCCTAGATTTACTTAAATGCATGAATTTAAAGATGCTTATCACATTTGTGGCAGTACTTCCTAGCAGTATGCAACATTGATTCCTAATAATAAATTAATTAATCATGACCTAGGTATGCACTAGAAAATGGAGTTTAATAGTTTAAATTATTATTTTTTTTAAAAACTAATTGAGATCCACATATGGATTTTATATATGGTCAGAGATCTGGAGAATCTTTGTGATTTTCCTGACAGTGTTGCTAAAATCACGGAAAACAAAAGCTAGTTACAAGACCAGAGTTAGAGTCAAGACCTTTGTAAATGAAATTAAAACAAGACCTGCATATACACCGATTTATTGTTGGGCTGCTATATAAGCCTTGGCAAGGTGTGCATAATATGCACGTTGATCTTGTTATGCTTCTTTTGTGAATGGATTTACCGCCTCAGAGCGCACTTCTGTGGGCGTGGACAAACTTACTCGTCAAGTCATTCTCATCTATTTTCAGTGTGCTGAAGCTACATCATGAATTATAAATAACATTACATTTGGCCACCTGTTCAGATAAAGTGTTTAGTCACAGAAGTGTACACAAAGTACCCATACCTACCTTTTGGATAGTTCACAACATACACGATATTGCCCCATCCGTTTTCTGGTGCGTGCAGGACCCCTTCCACAAGACGTACTCCCCGCATGCACTGAGACACGGGGCTCCTGAACCGCAGGCCGCACGCTCCTGGAAACTGAGCTGCCACAGTTGAAAGCAGAACAGTACCGTCATCCTCGGACGGGATCTCCATGGGTTCTTCATTCTCCTCCTCTGCTACTCGAATATATACTTCGGCCATTTTCCCCAAAAAGAAAACTTGTTTGACTCAATACAGTGCCGAAGTTAGCCGTTAGCTCGCTACTTGTCCACAATTGCGGCTAACCCTAGCCGATGTTGCTAATAGGACTGAATGAGTCAGGCTAATTGGTTTATTTTATTTGAAACAAAGACGTCTCAAGTAAAAGTACTATGACAAAATTGCGTGGGTTTAATTTTAAATTATTTCATAAATAATGTTTCCACCGGGCAGGGCTAACAAGCGTGCATCGGCCTTACTGTTCCTTTGTTCGCTGGGACGGGGATCTGTGTCGTCAACACCGGACGACGACAGTTCGAACGTGATTCTTAACGAAAACTGCGCACGGTCCCCCGCTAACTGATCCACAAAACGATTTCTTCAAAATGGCTTGCGCAGGCCTAATAAGTTCTACAACTTCAACAAAGCACTAGTCTCGTCCTAAATGCAAAGTAAGAAATATAGCTTAGAAAAATATTTTTCTACACGAGGTGAAAAATGAAAGCGCCTTGCCAGGCCTACAAAGATGGCATTATCTAAGCAAAGACGGAACTACGTCATTAGTTTGGACGGTTTCATTTCATGGCGGTTAATGTGTCTAAGGCACGTATTAAATGTAGCCAGAAACAAAATCAGTATTCAGTATAAAGTAGTAAAACAACACTGATATTACAATATGTGTTTGTTCGTATATGGAACGTCATCAACTCGTCTTATTTTAATGTTAATAATCAATTTTATTTTGTAACCTCCCCTTGTGAGGGAGCACGGTATATCAGGTTTGGTACATCCACGACAGCAGCTTCCGGTAGTTGCAACGTTTGTTGGCAGAGATGGGAAGATGGCGGTTCGCAGAGAACAATCAAATACTGACGAATTCTAAAGCTGAGTCTTCAGTCCATGGCGTTCAATGTCACAAATACAAATTATGATTTAAGGCATATGCCTGCAATTTAAAACGTTTTTTTGTGTTATATCAATCCAGAGGGGGGTGTCATCACCGTTAACCGCTGCGTCAAAGCGGTATAACTGTCAGGTGCATGTAAATGTTGAATTATTTAATCAACTTTTCTTTGGTTAATTTTTAGTTGAAAGCAGACAACTTGATGTTCAACAATAACTAACGTGAGTCGTTATCTCACATTTCCAAACATTTTTCATTTCACATAAATTGCCTTCAAATGCTGTTTTATTTTTTTTTAGGCTGGAGTTATTATATTATATTTTTGCTTTCCTTATCATCAAGAGATCCAAAAAAAGATCAAAATAAAATTCCTCAAATTTAAACAGGAGTAAATAGTGTTTTTGTTGGGGACTATTTTCAGTCAAGTATTGAAACATATATTTTTCAGCAGGAGGTATGAGGCTGACCCAAAATTAACTTTAGTGCCCATGTTCATCATAATGTAGGAACACATCACCAAGTGTAACTGCTCTCACTGATATGTTTACTACATTTTTTTCATGGGATTTATTGACAATAAGAAAATTATTCACCAAACAAATCTTCAAATTATTCAAGCATTATGGAAATATACAATTAAAAGAAAAAGACAAAGGCAAGTATAAGTTAAGTCCTAGAAGTTATCTTGCTCCAGTGCCATCCAACAAGATTAATTGGTCATCTGAAAACAACTTATGTGCCATTTTCACATTAAAGAGGAGAATTGCTGCAAATATATCAAAACCACACCTTGTAAAAGTATGTTTGTAAAAATATTACACCTGCTGCAAGGGAAAGGTATAAAGAAACAGTAAACTATAATCCATGAACCCTCAATTACAACAATACTATTGTCCTGTCATAAAGGTTTTTTTTTTCTTCTGAACAGACCAGAGCTAAATGACTGAACTGGACAATGAGTATTTGATGGTTTTAAATAATGGGAAAGCTCACCCACAATCATCAAACCCTTTTGTTCTAAAACAAGTAAACCTAAATTGTATACTTGCATGCAACTGGTTGGTTTTTACTTTTAAATTTTGTTGCTTGCCCCATTTTAATTCTTGTCCTCCCTAAACAGTAGTGAAGCTATTTCTGCACAACTACTATTAGTCACAAAGCTGAGAAATGTTAAATCTGAACTACGCATCAAAATGGTGAAGGGTGTGTAACAGGCTCCATTACATTACAAAACAATCATTCAGTGCTGTTTTTGGATTCAACTCAACAACAAAAAGAGATCTCAAACAGCTTTTTATTACATTTTTCAATCAATAACAGTACAATTTAGTACAGTATCTATCTTGCATCCAGCTCACCGTGGAACATCAACAGACTGAAATGAAATACAAAAAGTGAAAAGGTACATAAGGGTGCAGAGCTCTATAATATTAATGGAAAGAGAAAAGGGAATCCATCTCAGTTGAATTGCATTTTCACTTGTGGCCACACACGAATACATCACATTTATTGTACATCATCGCAGAAAAAAAAGAAAAGTGAAAATATGTCACAACTTTAACAAAAGTGCTTCTGTATACAGTGAAATGTTGTCATTCAGATGCTCTGATTTTCAATTTAAGACCAAGAAAAAAATGTACAAAAGTTTTAGTATGGACAGTATGTGAGGACATTATTGTTCCATTGAGTGTGAAGATTTGAAGGAGAGAAAAGGACTTCTCAAGGATAGAATTCTCACAATGATTGTTATAATTATTACAAAAATTGGCATCAATAGAACTGGTAAGCATAATTTACACTAAGTACGCAGTCAATATTAAGTCTTTCTCCATTCTTGCTCACTCTGGTGCATAGCGTTACCAGTATTAGTACATGATGTATGCAGAGTTTGAGCCAAAAAAAATTGGCTTCTATTAAGTTCAATCAATAGGTTACTCTCCTTTTCAGAAACAAAAGAAAATCTAGGATTTTTGCACCATTGAAAGCAAGTCTACAGCATGCACATCTAAATTAACTCATGGCAGACAAAATTAAATGTCTTAACTTAAAACATCAGACCATTATTTTCAGACATTGATTTGTACATTTCATTCACAGAGTTGCAACTGCAGTCCCAAGCAAAGGAAGTGTCTATTTAGTCAGGTGAGGTGTTTCACTCAAAGTGGATACTAAACACAATCCCCCATCCATATAATAAAATCCAGCCATGCCCCAATTATCTCAGCACCTACCTTGCTACCCCACCCCTTCCCACCCAAAGTCAAAGGCATGTACAAGAATTAAGGGGGTTAACTGGATAAGTTACTCGTAATAACTCCTTTTGTACTGGAATGAGCATTCATAACTTATAGCATGTGCTTGGTTAGTTAACATAGTATTAGTTGAGAGGCAAAGCTTCTTCATGTGCAAAAGGCTGTGATGAAACAAAAACAGCTAGTATATAAATACATCATGGACAATTTGAAAGCTGCTCGTGTAATATGATCCAAGCTTTTACTTCTGCATGTTTTCTCTCATCTGTCTTATATGATTTAACTGGATTAGAAAGACAAGCTGTAATTCAAACATATCTAAAACCACTAAAGAAATATGACAAAAAAGAAAGCCATCAAGAATAACAAACCATCAGAATAGAATTCTTAAAAAAAAAAAAAAAAAAAAAAAAAAAAAAAAAAAAAAAAAAGTTAAATAATTTGTACAATTACACTCCAACATTTGCTTTCAAGACACACACATTTGCATGGGATGATAGTGTTGTTTTCTCTTTCAAGGTAACATAAAATGGTCCAAGAAGGAATGCGCAAGTTTCTGATTTGATACCACAGGAGATCCTTTCTTAACTAGGTGATAAACAATTGTGCTCTTCTTTGTGTAGGAAAGGCATTGGTTTCCCTTCGTTTTTGTGGTGTCCAAGTCAGTTTAAACAGTGTTGAAGAAGATGCTGTGAACATTCTGAAGTTGTAATGGTCTTCCAGTCAACTTTGGAGTTAAAAGAACATCTGGGAAACAAAGACAAATGAAATTTAGAATTTAACTAATCTAACCTGATCTACAATTTAGCTAATTTAACCTTATGTCAAGTGAATATGTAAGACCTAATGGGCAAAGATCTAACAAAAAGCTTTCTAGTCACACAGATTGACATAAGAATGCAAAAGGCTGCTTGTGTTCATTATACGTACATCTCCAACAAGCTGCAGTTTTTGGCCTTTTGTCAAGCCTGCAAAATGTAATATTTACATTTAACCCTCACCCTAAGAATTCAGTGTAACAAAAAAAAAAAAAAAAAGTTAAAACCTTACGTCAGTTGATTGTTTTTTTCTATAGTTCTTAGGGCAGCAACGTCATTACAGCAACAAACTTCAACTTATTAAAAACTACTATTATCCGAGTTAAGTTTGATATGACTAAATGGCTGACAATGTCTATCTGAGGTGCGCTAATTGACCACTGTAATACAATATGTGTATATCCACCAGATGGGTTTGTTTTCTGTACAGCCCGTATGTCCTGTATGAAAAAACATTAAGCTTAAACTAATGCTAAAAGCAGTTGAAGTTGCCCTGACATTTATCTCAAGCTTACTGTAAATGTAGGGGCAAGAATGTTGTGTTGATCACGAGAGTCAAAAGAAAATGCCAAGATCCATTCAAGCTAACAGTGTCTCAAATATGCAGACCAGCAAAAGAAACAGAAAGACATTTCACTGAACCCACAACTCTTTTATACCTGTAAGGCAACAAAAGTAGCACAATCAGCACATCACCTTCTACTCCAGCCAGGCAAAAAAAATGAGGCTATGGCAGACGTGCAACTACAGGTTTTTACGAGGAATAGCTTTAAGTACAAATGTAGGAAAATGTGAAACAATAAAAAAAAAAAAAAAAAAAAAAAAAAAAAAAGAAAAAAAAAAAGAAGAACCTTCAGACTTCAATTCCAGATCTTCAGAAAACTGTCCCAGGATCCCGTTGCAACTGCCATGCCATCATCAGTAACTCCCAGGCAGCTAACACGGTTGTCATGTCCAGCCAACACACCTAGAAAAAGTACAACAATTATAACTTAGTCTTCATGACTAAAAATGAGAAAACAAGTAAATAATCTTTGTTGCTTTGTATGTTGAATTCTGAAATCAAGAGTATTTGTGTAACATGAAAAAAATAGGGCTGCTATTTGAGATCATGCTTCAATAACTAACCAGCACGGTCAGCTTTTAGTGTGTCCCACACGTTGCAGTTGAAGTCATCATATCCCGCCAGGAGAAGACGGCCACTCTTTGAGAATGCAACAGAGGTGATGCCACATATGATATTGTCATGAGAGTAGATCATTAATTCCTGATCAGCACGCAGATCGAACAGCCTGCAGGTGGCATCATCGGAGCCCGTGGCAAAGGCATTGCCATTAGGGAAGAACTAAAAAGTACAAAAGAGAGATCATTAATGCACAACAGAAGAATACACTAACAAAAAGGTACGTCTGTATAGTAGTTTTTAAAAAAGAATAACATTCCAATTTGCAATTCCAAAGAAAAATTTGAAAAAAAGTAAATTTCTGAATTTTGTCAATAACTTACACAGATGGCATTGATGTCAGACTCATGGCCGGTAAATGTCTGTCTGCACATGCCCTCTCGAACATCCCAGAGTTTAGCAGAGGCATCACAAGCACCAGAGACGAATAACCGTGAGTCAGGGGCCAATGACAGGCTCATGACATCACCTGTGTGTCCAGCAAATGTGGTTGTCTGCTGGCCAGTCTCAATGTCCCAAAGTGCACTGTAAAATAAAATATCTGTTTAGCATTTCTCCAACTTCCTAGCTCTTGCACAAAAAATACTGATTTAATAATCAACCCAGTAATTCAACTAAATGTAGGGAATTCTTTTACTTACCAAGTGGTATCTCCAGAGCTTGTAACAATCTGGTTGTCATCAAGAAAGCGACAACAGGACAGGTATCCTAATATTCAAAGAAGCAATAGAACATACATGAATATGGAACTGCATGTCAGATATTTAACTAGCAGTTTGTTAATAACTAGCGTATGTATAACTAATATTTGCGCAATTACGCATCATCAGTATTATTAACAGTAAATAGGTCAGCTGTAAGATTTTAGAACATCTTAAATTTTGTATTTTTCTCCGTGTCTTACTCTATTTACTTTCCATCTTTTGGCACCAAATCTCTTTGTTTATCACAAAGGACAGATTAGATTAAAAAGGTAAAAAGTCTTTATTTCCCACAAATTTTGAGGGTGCTTGTGAATACATTTTAAAATTAGGTTTAACCAGTGATCCACTAATTCAATTTATAAATATCGATGTTTTTACATGCAACATACAATAGGGCCTCAGCATGTTGAGTATAGTTAAGATGAAACTCTACTTTTGCAATCCATTTTCACCAACCCACCCTTTGTAATTTGCTTTAATCAATCATGTGTGTACATCATATACCATATACCATCATATACACTATCATGTACCTGTATGTCCAGCAAGCTCACGGCTCACACGTACATTCCCCTCACGTGTTTTCAGGTTGTAAATGGAGCAGATGTTGTCTAAGCCACCACAGGCCACATAATTTCCTGAAGGTGCATATGCGCAAGTCATGACCCAGGAAGATCGAAGAGGAATGGCGTGAACCTATATAATCAAGGTGACAACACACACACAAATACATTTGTTATCTATCCAACTTATAAATTTCAAGTTTAACTAATTCTACTGCTAGACCTGTTATTTTGACACCCACTGCTCCTGTGCACCAAGCCCAAAATCAGAGTGACATCCAGTGAAGTGAAGCACTCATGACCAAAGTAACAAGAACAAGTGAACTGAGAACAGAGTCCAGAATGTGCCCCTTAGGCATTAGACAACATCCTGTATAATCACACCCATATCACTTCCATTTTGATTGAAACATGATAGCATATATCAGTCAATAAGCTGCTACTTACTGGCTCTCATAGACAGCATAATGTGGCAGCTTAATTAAACAAAGGCTGTAACTAGCAGTGTTTCTATTTGTGAGCCCCTATACGCATTAAGATATCCCATATACAATTCTGACCTCAATCTGGCCTGCAATCTTCTCAGTAGGTCTAGAGATACATTGGAAGAACGACCCTTTAATCTTTTAATTCCCAGCTGGACTTATTGCCTGCTGTATCAAATTCAATGTGAATGTTTTTTTTCCATGTCACCACAAAATCTTCAATATTCTAAAATTTGACAGAGCATAATTTTCTATAGTTAATTTTCTTTTTGTGGTGTAAAAGTACAAATTACCTATTAGGCACACAAACTGTGCTCCACTTCCCACCCCACTAACTGCACACCAAACACATCAGCCCCAAGGCCACAAATGCCTCTCTCTCAGCTGATATGTAACCCTTTTGAATATATTCCAAATGAATGCAGCATGGGCAGAGTTAGTTAGTTTCTCCTTCTGATTCAAATATAACCTTATGAGTTCCACAAAAATAGGTGCAGGTCTCAAAATATAAAACAGCAAAGTGAGATAAACAATGCCCACCTCATTCATTTGTATTCACTTTGCCTGAAATAGCCCAAAGTTTCATAAAAGCAGCAACTATTACTTTATTTGCATGTAGATGGTGACACTGACATTAGCTTTATGTGACAGTCCAAGCTGATGCTGTTATTACTTTACTTTCCAATTACAGATTGACATGTTCAGATTCAACCATTAGTACATTAAACCCCTTTTAAATTCACACAACTTACCTTATTTGTGGTATAGCTGTCCCAAATAATGAGTTTGCCATCTTGAGAGGCACTGACCAAGAGCCTACAAAAATTAGAACAGCAATATAAACACCACCACAACAACAATCGCAGTTGTCACACAAAATCTATTTTTATCTAAAATCATAAGCCAAAAACTGAGGAAGAAGGACTGCAGGCTAAAGATGCCTGCCAAACTGCTGAAAAACATGATGTAATCAGTGTAACAACTCTTAAATTTAGGCGTAGTCTAACTTTTGCACTCTGCTCAACATTTGACATGAAACAAGGACACAATGCAACATAAACAAAATCTCCCTATATACCATGAGTCATAAGGCATTTAGTTTACCTGGAATCTGTTCCCCAATGCATGGCATAGATTTTAGCCAAATGACCCCGCAGCGTTCGTCTTGTACGCATCTGGATTCGTCCAACGGGGTCAATATTAGCTGTGATCTGGAAAACAAACAAACAACAAAAAAATTAAGTCCTCAGGTTACATTCAGACCAAATGCTTTTCAACCTAAGCAACAGATCCTAATGTCAAATGTTACCTGTGATAGTGTGGCATCTGCGCATGCTTTCCTGGCATCCTGAAAAGAAGAGAAGTCAAATCTTTAGAGCAGGGTCAAATTTTGATTGTATAGACTTGTAATTGGTATCTTTAATGATAATTGGTGGTATAGCATATAGAAAAGTGTTTGTTACTCACTCTGATCTGATTTTTGAGCTGCTCTGCCTCTTGGCGTAACTGGTCCAGTTCACTCATTTTAGCCTGCTTTTTCAATTACCTTACTCCAGCTACTGGGGCACTTGTTGATCTAAGAAAGAATAAAGAGAAAGCACTTGAATCATTCACAGTCTTCTTCGTTTTAAATTTAAGGTATTATTTATACATATTTTCAACCAAACATGAAAGTTTGTCTAAACCTGTCTTAGTCACAACCAAATCTCTTAACAGCAGAAGGTAATAGTAGAGGAGAGTATTTTCAGCCAGCTCACTGTCATTGACTTTTCAATTGACTGAACTGTTCACCTAAAATATATGTAATGTACAGTTCATGGTTTAACCAGACTGTACTTTCCCACCTCAATGTCACTAACATAATCCTGACACACAATTTAGATTGCCAGACAAATCCTGTTAAGGCATGACTTTCCAGTGATCTGAAAAGCGGTCATTATCCTGTTGACCTCAATCCCAGGGATACTCCGAATTTTAGCCAAGTGATCAATAAGCCACTTATATTAATACAAAGCCTTGAACACACTCAAAGTTCATCTAACAAAATACATTTTAGATATTTAAGTCATGATCCAAGTAGCGGAGTGTCAATATAACAAACGTATCTTAAACTACTTCAAGTCTCATTTATCAAAGCAAATTATTATATTATTTCAACACAGTTATTATAGCAAAGCCAGAAAAATCACAGCAAATACTCAAGCTATAATTACCTGTCCTGTTCAAGACATTGACTTAATTTATTCTGTACGAAACAACACTCTATGGAAATTACATTTTCAGATTTCCTTTATCAAAATGAAAGGTAAAATTCTGAGTAAGAATAAGAAAATTCATCCATTATTCCAATTTTGGTTACATCACTGATTAGAATTTTACAACTTTGACATGCAACTTCCAAGTCCATTTATTTCAAGCAATAAAAAAAGGTACAGTTTATGGAAAAATGTCACAATGCAACAACCTCGTAGCAAGGTTTGTGAACGGCTAAATCAATTTAATATACTGTTAGTTTGAATAAAGTCCATAGTTGTGAACAAACTCATTGTTCGTTTACCAACTCCTGTTATCCTGGAAAATGGACCCTGTGCCCAGATCTATCCGATAAATTATTCAAGTGTGTCGAACAGAAACACATTAGGAAATTGATGTCTAATCATACCCTTAATGTGTGTGTATGTTTAAGATGGTACACATTTTTGTGGTAAACCAGACAATGTGATTTCCGAGTACACCCAAGAAACTGGTTAAAATTGAGTAGTCACACACAATTTAGACCCAAAACATCACTTAGAGTTTTCTACAGATGAGTTACAGGAAGAACCTTGGTGAATCAACTGAAAAAAACTGCCTTAAACTTTAAAAGGCAATGTTTTCAAAAAACAAAACAATGAGACACTAAAATTCAATGCAGATGTAACCATTTCTAAATAACAAAGCACCATTCAGTTTTACAACCTTGCCATCCCAGTTACCTTACCTGGTGTGTTTCAATCAGTAGGCCTATGTCACTGGAGGTTTCAGGACAGGACTGAAAAACTTCTCTACCTGACTACGTTGTCCTTAAGGTCCTCTAACTGGTTGACCTTTTTAACGCAGGTTATCCTCTTACACTCATTAATCTAATAATAAACGTGTCAGGAATGTAATTATTATACAGTATCAACAAGAGACAGCAGAATGCCATTCTTACCTTGAAGACCTCTGAAAATATAGTTTAGATTTTACAATATTGTCAAATTTTTTCTGTGTGAAAATTAAATTCAAGTTTACTCATGCCCGCTGTAGTGTATGATAGTATTTTTCGATCTCTTCATACAGCATAATTAATAGACAAAAAACACAATATAAAAAAACTCTTTCATGCATTTATGCATCTATGTGCAATTTTATAATAACAATAATGATTTAATAAAGAAAATTACTAAATTGACCTCTGAAGTAATCATTTAGTTTTCAATTGCAAGTCTGATTGAACAAATTTAAGGCTTTTGAGTTAAACCTCACAGATTTCCGTAATATTAATGGTTATTAATATGAAAATGCTCTTCAGTGATATTAAATTCACAAACACTGGGCTCTCTATCAAATTACAACATGATGCAATTAATTTTGATTCTTGACTCTCTCTATTCAAACCCTAAAACTGCAGTGGTAAATCCAAAGGTGGGATAGCCTGGACTCATTCTATAGTCCTGAGCTTTAAATATTCCACATTCTGAATTTTATTTCCCATTGACCTCTGTGGATGCTTACAGTTAAGGAGTTCCTCTCCCTCATCACTTCTCCTTTCCAAGCGCCTGATCAGGGTCAGCTGACTGCATGATAAACAATGAGCAGTGGCAAACAGCCTGGAGTTGTAGCTCACTAGCTGTTCTCAGGTCCCTTAAGTGCAGTCTGTGCCTGCTTCTTTCAAAAGGTGTCTTCTACACTTTCAATTAAAATCCTAAAAAATGTATCTCTCACTGCAATCCGTAAGTATACATATGTTCTCAAAGGACAAGTCAGCTTATCTGCACTGTTAAACAATGATAATGCAATGTTTCACAGCTAAAGCTGGATCATAGAAAAAGCCATAACCAGCAATATCACTGAGCAACTCCATAATCCTAAAAGCTAAAATCCTCAGTCAATGAGTCTCTAATCCTATCCATGTCCACTAACATAAACAGCTGGCAAAGCCAACCCAGGCATTAGAAATATGTTTTCCCAATCATAAAAGGATGAGTTTAATCTTATTTCTTTTACACACAACATGCTTAAAACAAGTGCCAGGATTTTCACACTGCCAGTGAAATCACAAGCCTGATACAACTCTGTGTCCAGTATGATCACATACTGTACAATTAGTACCTCGCTTTCTGTAATAAACTAAGATAAAGATGCATTTTCAAAGAACTCGTGTATATATAAAATTCATTTGCAAATTGCATACACAATTGGCACACGTCATAGCAATATATGACAGATATAAGATAATACAATTAAAATCTATTTCATGAATATACCTAGCATATATATTTTCTAAATGATTTATGTGCAGAGGTTCACACAACACTGTATGTAGTGTACTGATAGTTGACTTAGCGACTGTGTGCAGTACTGTGATTTGCGTTCAACAGGATAGTTTGCATTATATTTGAATAGCCGTCAGATAGCTGTTTTAGTCAGGTTGTTACTCTAATTTGTTTATTAGGTTGGTCTACAGGTTACACACATTTCAGGAGAAATTTGGTTCCAACTCAGCCCCACGATGTGGCAAAATACTGAGGATTTGGAGTATTGTATCTGACAGAGTGCAATCTAATTTCTACATTTACTGAACGCTGCTCAGTGTAACGATAATATGACTTGCACTGATAGAAATCTGAGAAGATGCAGCTAAACGCCATCTTGCAGACTGCTGTCCGCTAGTTAGCTTGCTAGCAGGCTTGGCAGTGTAGGCCTGCAGGCAGGGCAGAGCTAGTATTCGAGAAAGCAATGTACTCAGTCACCGTGTTAGCAACAAATTCAGTTGTGATTTAACAACGTCTAGTTGAAAAGCAAAATCGATCTTACTTAAGACCCGCTGAATTTCAGACAGATAAACTCAATAGCTGGCAGCATCTAATGCAAAATAACATAACCACTGCTACTTTATGGTAGACTCTGCTGCTCTTCCGCAATTACATGGAGTGCTATGGAGTTAGCTTTTAAGCCAACAGTGGTTAAACATAGAACCTCGGTGGTTGCTTGGCCTCCAGAAATCCACTTACTTACATACTAACAATCTCATTAAACCCGACAGTGCCTAACTGATTTGATTACGACGTATCGGTATATTTATTTGGCTCCCTGATCCTTTAGTAGTCCCCGAGCTTGTAAAAACTGCAAGGTCGGGCGGCGATGGCCTGCTTGACTTCAGTTAAGCAACAAATGCAATAGATGCGGGTGATTTTTCATGACCATCTATCATCCATCGCTACATAACTGCCAGTTAGCTAACTGGTGGTATATAACTAACTAACGTTACTAACCTAAGTTGAAGGCGTTGCACCGGCGCGGCCGTTTCGTTGCAGGGAGGCAGCAATATGCTAACTTATTAGTTCGGCTTGTAAAAAAAAAAAAAAAAAAAAAAAAAAAAAAAAAAAAAAAAAAAAAAAAAAAAAAGGGTGTTAACGCGGCTACAACAACTCACGCTAACAAAGTGTAGCTGTTACATATATATTTATATTGTGTGCAATTTTAAAGTTGTCTAGTGATGCTGGCTGCTGTACTATCTACTATCGCCATTAACCAATATTTGCTGTTAATTTGTTTACGGGACGTTTATTGTTCCAGCCCAACCCAGTGTGTCATCATCAACTGACAGCAACATCTTTAAATGTAAGATTTCGAGTAGACCTACAAAGAGACCCGATACTAACTATCAAGCTTCAGGTGTTAACATTAACATCCTAGTTGCCATAAGTACATTTTGGCAATTAACTATCCAGTACTTTAAGTACTGTATTTTAGGCCAAAGAGCACCTCCGCTGGGCCATCACTGGCATCAAGCCTCACTGGCCAATATTAATGTTACTTCAACGCCAGCCAGGAGCTTTGCTAACATTAAGAGTAGTTAACCCAACTCAATTGACTGGCTGTGTAAGCCAGTTACGGGTAGATAAGTTTTGTAGCAATCTGCTTATCCGCCGCAAATATTGAGCGCCAGGGCCCACTGCTGCAGACACCCTTGTACCTTAGCTACTTGTATTTGCTTATTATAAAATAGCCAACTTAACGTTAGCTAACCGCAGCTAACTAAATGGCTAGGAAGCTAGCCATCGCTTGCTACCCCACCCCCGGGCAGTTCAATTCCGCCACAATTCATCAGCTAATGGTATCAACAGATAATGTGAAAGATATGAAATTAGCACGATCCTCGCCTTATTTCACCTTACCTGATTCAATTTGCGTTTGTTTTTGCGTTTTGGCATTGACTGGAAAACAAGACGGCGTATACCTCCGATCCACGCATCAACGAACACCACAACGCTAGCTTTCTAACTAGCTAGCCAGCTAGCGTTAGTTTTCCGAGGAGCAGCCCTTCCCGAACGCAGGCTACAGCTAGGGAGCTTGACAACCTCCGTCAACCAACCGGAGAGGGGAGGGGGGAGGGAGTCACACCCACTAGCCTTGTACTGAAGACACTGCCCAGGCAGACAAAAACGCTAATCTTTAAAGTCACTATAAGTCAACAAGACAGTCTACTCTCTCTTTTTTGTCAAACTTAACATCTGCCCTTTGCGTAGTGACACTCTCGCCCGGCCATCGAACGACGAGATGGGCGCGGTAACCCTGCAGTTAGCACCGGGAAACCCCACGCTGCAGCAGCGATGGGAAGAGAAGCATCGATAGTTGTTTTATCTACAGCTGGAGATGTTAGCGTTTCCAGTCACGCTGAACAGTGTTAAGCACTTCTTTGGTATATGTGCATTTCATTAGAGTAGACTAACAGTGAACGTGGTGTTCGTTTGTCCACCCCCCGCAAACCAGTTGGACTGAAAGGCTGAATCAGTCAGGCCCCAGCTTGGGTTCTAAAGAAGGAAGTGGTATTAATGATTTCAGCAGGGCTCTCTATAATAGCAGTGGCAACAACATAAAATGGCCTTAGCAAATCAGGACAGTGTATTTTGATGTTTATGTGTTTTCGCTGTAAGATTTTTTACTCACTAATTTTTTAATGTGTTCCAATCATATTGATCTCTTTAAAAAAACACCTCTCACTTTAGCATCTCACTAGTTAGGCTATTGGTCCTTTTTTGGATCAGGTCTAGGAAGTTGTTGCAGTTAAACATACATCCATTTCCCTGGCCAGTCACTTATCTATATGCAATACAGTAAGGCCTACTTCTGGTTGTTAAGAAGTTTGTCAGATAGACATACAGCTGTCCTTTTAGGTGGAATTTGTTGCTATAGATACACTACTTCAACAAACAATACTTAGTTTATTAACACACATGCACACGTTGTCACAGGTCAAGTTTTGGGACATTACATAGACTTCATTCAATCTTCTTCATTTGTTTTCTGGAGACTTGCCATGACAATAATCATAACCACTAATTGTCTTTACCACATGTAAAATGAGTAATAAATGGGATATCTTTATAAGCTTTATAAGACCTCTTAATCACCTCACACATGGAGTGAAATGAAATGGCAGTGGCTATGGACCATTTTCATTATGGCTTGTCAGCAAAATGTTGATAACCATTTGACTATGACATGCAAATTAATTTGGTTGCAAGGATGCAAAAGCAGGAGGAAAACAATATTTCTGCATTGCTTTGCTTGATCATAAAAACATTTCTTTGAGGATACACAAGTTCTAATCTGTCTGTATTCAAATTGCCAGCATATGTAGTACCACTGTTAAAACAAAGAACTCTCCTTTGGGCCTATCATTTTTAAACCCTTTCATGTATCAAGTAAACTTTATTTTCCATTGAGTGAGATCTGGCAATTTTAGCCAGTGAACCTGATCAGCATAATCATTTATTCATTCTTTGTTTCTGCAAGTGCGATCCAAACTTTCTCTCGTTTGTTACAGCAAACTCTGTGAGGATGTAAGTTATCCTAACTATCATATAGTGGTTCAGTCAAACTATGGCCTATTCCTGGTTAAGTGTTCATCACGGCTGTAAAAACAATGAAATATAGGATAAAATGTTTGTTCTGGTTTGTTTTTATGAATGGTTAATTTATTGACCACCAGCTAATGTAAATATGAAGTCCAAAAAACCTTAAGATAAATTACAATTATCCTTTAGGCTTACTTGGTATCACCCTTCAAACTCTGTGAACACCGAAGATCATTTGAGTCATATGGTGTACAAACATTCAAAGCTCTTCCCCTTGGCTAACAAATGTGAAATTCTTAATGTTCCCATTGCAATGTTGGAAATAACTTCTTGGAGTTAAGTACCTCCTTATTTGGTTGTCTGCTTTCATGAGATTCACTGGGGGCCGCACAAGCACCTGCTAATAACTCGCAGCAAGCTAATTGCAGCTCCCATAAGTAGAACATGTGATGTTGAGGTCACAGAAAATGCATCTGATTGTTTACATATTTTTTTCATTTTGTCTTTAGCCCTTTCCACATCAGTTACTTCGAGAATAAAGTGATATTTCAACCAATTACAAGTTTACAGTTCCAATATAACTATGCTGTAGCTGTTGGTTGAGATCAGTATCCAAATATTCCTGATCTATGATTAGCAAGTCCATCCTCTAAGTGCTTTAAAAGGTCTTGAAGCAGGCTTTTCTAAACTCTGGGGAAAAAGCATTAGAAGTGTAGAAATGATGAGGCTAAGACATCCTCTCATTCTGCAGTAACTGTTGTCACAGTGCTTGTCCTCGGCTGTGTTTGTACTACCAGCAAAGAAATGGTGAGTACCTTATGACAAAGGAACTAACTTCTCATACTAAATTGTTAATTCTAATATGTGTAATTAACATGATTAAATTTGACGTGAAGTCATTCCAAAAGCTTTGATGTGCTGATCTCTACTCCCTTTGATAAATCTTGTTAAATGAAATACTGCAACTTCCTTTTTTTTCTTCCAGGCCAGCAAGCTTACACTAGAGCAGATCACAGAGTATAAAGGAATTTTCGAGATGTTCGATGAAGAGGGAAATGGAGATGTGAAGACACAGGAGCTAGAGAGGCTGATGAGTTTAATGGGAATCAATCCGACAAAAAGAGAGCTCAGCCAGATGGCCAAAGATGTGGACAAAGATGGTGAATATAAACTTCCAATGGCTGTTAACCCAACATGAAAACAATTATCATTCTACATACATCCAACTAAAAGCACATCAATGGTTATTCTTAGATGGGCTTTTTGACCTTTATGGGCCATTGGCTCGGTTTAAGATAATATAGAGTTGGTAGTCAAGGTCTTACACACACCTGTGACTTTATTATGTATATCTGCAAAATAAGTACAGTACAACAGCCCTGCCATCCCTACCTTTTTGAAGCATCAGAAAGCAGCTGATTCATATTTCTTTTTGAGACCCTAATGGTGGTGGTAGTGTATTTGACTATTATTGTAAGTTGTTGCTATTTACATACATGAACAACTGCTTTAAAATGCCTTTAAGCAATGCACTGTATGTATTCTGATCTGCACCTGGAGGTGAGGATGTTAGTTGAAGCTTTAGCTGTCTAAAGTTCAGTCTGTGACAAGTAAGTAATTAGTGCTTGAGTTAGACTGCTAAATGAGCTTCTGTAATGATAACTTGGCCATTTACATTAGCCAAAGCACTGGAAGGCAGATGAAATGGATGTTTGTCATTTATTCTGACCAGGTTGGATGTCAATTGCAATTCCAGACAGATTTGGGATTCATAAAGCAGACCTATGTGCAACGTTGCAAGGGAATAACATCTTCCAAAATGCATTATGAAAGAGCATAACATTATCTAATACTGCAGTATTCTGTTTTGTGAAGGAATCCACATTAATCACTAGGTGGCAGTGTTTCACCATGTGTGCTTTTTGTATGGTGGGCTTTATAAAAAGACTATTGGCATTTCCCAGAGTTGTGCGCACACACACACACCAACAGTCATCTAAGGACATTATTGGAATATATCATCTGACATCTATGATAGATTTTCTATGAGCAGTTTGAGAGAGTGCATGCTCATTTACTTTATTTAGTTATTTGTCTACTTAAGGTGTTATTGATAATGATGTTTTTGACATTTTTTTCCAATTCATTTTTTTTTTTTTTTTTTTTTTTTAGCATTTTACAATATTGTTCTAATAATAATAAAGTTCCCTAGTAATATCCAATAATTTCCTGCCATAAGTGTGAAAATTGATGACATAGAAACGTCATAAAAGATTGAAAGCTTAGAGCCATATTTCCAGCCACTGTTATGTTGAACGTGTTGTCCATTATGTGCCCAGATACATGATTTTCTGCCTTCTACAAATTTCTGCTATAAGTATATCTTTCATGTCAAATTAAGTTCCTTTTCAACATATCGAACACGAATATTTGTGTTATTTCATCTGTTATGCTCAAGGATATAATTTGCCATTTAATTTCCTGTTTACAATTTCCCCTTCTCTTACCTTTCTCTCTTTATACCTCCCTTCTATCTCTGAACCAAAAAGAGGAAAAAACAAATACAAGCAGAGATTTATTGCAAAAAATTCTTCTTTAAACCGTGATACTGAATCAGTTCAGAATATCTAGATTTTTAAATCTCCACATCTCATCCATATTTATCCAAACACAAGACTTTAGAGACTTTGAAAAATTAAGCTGTTCTTATGAATATATGCAAAGCACCTTCCTCTTTATCAGTAAGTTGGAATGTAGATAATTATTATTGCATAATAACCATTAAAGATTGAGGTTAAATTTGATTACCATTAATTTTACTTCATACATGCCCCCTAATGTAGTTTTTCTCTGTATATTGATTTATCAGTCTTTTTTTCCTGTCTACTGTCTGTCTGCCAAACTAAAGTTCATTATCTTTATAACATTTCAGGTAAAGGGGTATTCAACTGTGACAGCTTCCTGGGTCTGATGGCACTATACCATGAAAGAACCAAGAACCAGGATTCTGAACTCAGAGCTGCTTTTAAAGTGTTTGATAAAGAGGCCAAGGGTTATATTGACTGGAACACACTGAAGTAAGAATAACATTTAAGATAAAAAGACAAAAATAATTTTTTCTGCCACTGTGATGCGCTGCACCGTTTATTAATTAAAAAATGATTACTTATTTTGCACCCAAATTAAATTCCAGATAAAACCGATTGAATTAAAAACATAGTAAACATGAGCATGCCCCCGAGTTTGTCTTCACTTAGTTTTAATATTAATTTGCCATTCTGAACTTTCAGTGTTTTTTATATGTTTAATAATCATTTCCAGATACGTACTGATGAATGCAGGAGAACCACTCAACGAGATCGAAGCGGAGCAGATGATGAAGGAGGCAGATAGAGATGGAGATGGAACAATCGATTATGAAGGTATATATTATGTAAAGTTATATTTAAACCACTCTACTTGTCTTTGGTTGAAAAAATATAATTAACGTTATTGGAAGATAGATTACTTAGTGAACAATCTGATATCTCTGTATAACTGTTCTTAGATGGTCTTAATGTGTGTGTATATATATATTTAGAACTGTTGTTCTCCTAATCTTTATGGATAATTTCTGACTGTCAGAATCATCAGAAATGTTCATATGAGAAACTCAGCTAACAAGCTGTTTCAACAAAATTGATTTAATGTATAAATATATATTACTGAAGAATATGAACTCTCCAGCTTCAATTAAGAATTGTACATTAAAGTTACATTATTTTTAGCTAATGTTTCAACTTGACTCCAGAACTCATTTTAACCAGTCAAGTATTGTGTATAAAGAAATAGTGAAACTTGAAAATGGATGTTATTTATCATAATTTGGGGTATTTTATTCACATTTGACTTTTACATTTTAAAAAAATCCCCGAATACACAAGCACGTTAAAACATGTGTCCTTAGATGATGAAGATAAGTAGAAAAGATTATAAGTAAATGATAAAAAAATACCATGGTATTTATTGCTGATTTGAACTCTTTCAGAATTTGTGGCCATGATGACCGGAAACTTGTTTAAAATGAGCTGAAGACGCAATAAAAGCAACACATCTCACTTTGAGCCTCTGGGATACCCTGCAGGAGTTGTGACCATTCAGTTTATGTTCCAGTGACACAGGATTATAAAACAAGAGGACCGTCATTTTTTACTGTTCAACATACTTGTAGTAGTTCTAATGGAAATGTGTGCAATCACATATCTCTGTTTTGTGAATAATTGTAGAAACCCTTCACATAAAAATAAAGATCTTTTAAAATTATTGGTCTGTTTATCTTCTGTTTGTGTGTTTCTGATAGAGTGCATTCAAGTCATTAAGGGTCAGACATCATAGGGTTAAAATCCTCAGACCTGCTACCCGGATGCAGTCACTCACATGGGTCTGACAGCATCTGGTGTGCAGAGCCATTAAATCCCATTCTCATCCCTGCAAAACCAAATGGACGGCTCAAGGAGCCAACCAAGTTCATCCTCTTGAAGCCATTAGACCAATTGCAGAGTGACGGGGGAGGGAGCTTGCCGCACTGATCTCTGTTTGCAGCATCCCTAGAGCTGCTTCTGTTGTGTGAAATACAAGAAAGGGCAAGACGGAGGGGGGGGAGTAGATCCTTGGAGGCAATCGCAGAACAGAAAAGGGATCTCCTGGAGGCTGCTGGGATAGGGTTACTTCGGTGTGAAGAGTCCATCTTCAGAGAAAATGACTGTTTTGTCAATGTAAACAGCCTGTGCAGTACCTGCATTGCTAAAGGGGGAAGCAGAGGAGGAGGAGGAGGAGGCGGAGGAGAAGGAGGAGGAGGAGGGACAGACACTGGAGGAAATGTTGCCTCTTCCAATGAAATTTTTCCCTTCTGTAGCTAGCCCCAGCCTGCTGCAGCTCACCTCTGAACTCATGCATGTTACATGTTAAGGTACGTCTGCATCTCTAATCTGAGAGGACACATGGAGTAGGACCTGGTCACGTTGGCAGGATTAGTAGTTCAGCTGTTAGTACAGGACAGCTGAGATACAGTGCATCTTGACTAAAAATAACATGTTATGTATCAGTAACACACAGTAATCAAGACCATGAACTGATTGAGATGAGCATGTAAAAATGTTGCACGCTACGTCTTTGTGCTGTGCAGGGATTATTAACCGGACAACAGCAATGACTGAATCCAGCCTTTGGCTTTCATTGGTTTGTTTGCTTCAGCTGCACATGTTCCTCATTATGAGCACAAGCAGACAGGATCCACTAAGGAGAGAGGAACGGATCATGTGTCTATTTTCACATTTTCACCGCTTCCCTCTGTCACCGTACAACACTGCTTTATATTCAGGTTTTTTTTTTTTCAAACTCCTCATATATGTAAATCTTCAGGATAAATTGCTCTTCACTCTCATGGGATGTGCTCAGTGTGTGTGTGTGTGTGGGTGGCATGTGTGCTGAGTCTTGGATGCAGTGGATATTTATGGAACCTGTGTGTGTGGAGCTCTGTGTGTGTGTGTGTGTGTGGGTGTTTGATTTTGACGTTTGAACACACTACCAACACATTTCCTCATAGTGCACGTTACAGTTTGAGTGGTTAGTATTCCTCTGTATTTTATCAAGTTTCCTCATGTGCCTTTGCTACCCACATCCTGCCCAACACCTACCACAACCCTGCTGGCACAGCCAGCTATGGTTTGTATGAAATCGAGGGTGAAGTGTGCCAAAACTGAAAAGTTTGATTTTTTTTCACAAGGATTTAGGCAAATCATCAATAAAATAGAAATTACATTTTATCATATAACACATAAAAGTTTTTGGAAAAATCACCATTTTTTAATCACATACTGTCTTTCTGTTTTGTGTTAGTTTTAGGTTTTGTTCTTCAGATCATATGGCGTAAGCGTCAACAATGGCTCAGCAGACCCCAGACCAGAGGGATGACATCTGTGTCGACCATGAGGAACACTAGAGACTGAGCGACAGAACAACATCCACAGAGATTCAAAAATACATCATACAGTTGAAACAGTTGCACCTGACCATGGCTATAACTGCAGCCAAGACAACTACGAGTTTTGTCTCCACAGCTGCCACAACCACCACAATCCCTTTCCTCTCAATGGGCACCAGCGCCAGAGACAATATCACCTCCAGAACAACATTAATGACTGTTACTATAACAACAAACGAGACCAGCTTCAATGCCACCACCTTTCCAGAAGCAGTGATTGAGGGCTCGGGAATGGGAATGGTGCTTGTCCCCTTTGGCATCATCACCGTCATCGGCTTAGCAGTGGCAATAGTAAGGAATCATTCAAATATTGTCTGTTGATTTTCCCCAGTATCATGTTTCATTTTTTCAGTGTTTGTCGTAACACCTCAGACATTATTGCACTGTATTATTTGGCTTGGACAACACTACTTGTTTCTCTTTCTGATTATATCTGTCTTTCTCCATCCCAGATGCTCTATATCCGGAAACGGAAGCGGTACGTTTATCAAGACTTTATTTGCTGATCCAACAATCAGGCAAGGCAGGATTATCAACCAAGAAAGGCGTGCAAACATGACCCCAAGTTCACTGCTTGTCTATTGGTTTTGATAATTTGATTATTTGCAAATTTGTGAGGAAATTTCCACTAGTGAAATATACTATCAACTAAAGCACATCCTGCATTGTTAGATCATTTTATGGCCATATTTTGTAGAGGATTCCCATATCAAAATGCAATTTAAAAAAATATTTATTTTCACTTATAATGTTCAAATGGCACATATTCCTAAACAAACTAACACAAGTTAAACATCATTCCCTCATACTGCAAGCATGGAGTTAATAGGAACTGGGATATAACAGGCTACATACACATTGCACAGAGGACAGTAGGCCAGGGGTTAGTAGGAGGCAAACATTTTTTTTGCCCATTTTTACCACAGAAGGCCTGATTTCTCCTTATTTAGTTGCCAATTGGTCCTCACCTCTAATCTCTTGTCATGAAGGCTGGAGAAGCTGAGGCACCAGCTCATGCCCATGTACAACTTTGACCCGGCGGAAGAACAAGATGACCTGCTGGAACAGGAACTACTGGACCATGGTCGGGAAGGCAGCCTCACGGGTCCCAATGCCAAGGTAGGCCACAAAGGGTTTGGTAGAACCTGTACTGACAAATGGTGAATGGTTTGATGACCAAAAGAGCCAAAAGCTTAATATTCTTAAATTGACATACATTTTGAGCAGTGACTTAGAGTCTAGATAATGTTTCCCATCACCAATAACAAAACACAAACTTCTATCAAAGTGTGATGTCACATTTTCTAATAATTTCCTATGCCCAGGTTGTATGGCAGTGATCTCTGATGTGTTAGCTGTGCTTTATGTGCTAGTGCTATGTGCTAGTAATTAAGTAATTTATGTTGTTAAAATTGGACTAGGTCGCTGTCATAATTTATCTTTTTTTCTTTAAAGTTTTGACTATGGCATAACGGTAAAAGGCAAACATGGTAAAGTATCACCTGTGTGACTTTTGAATCATCTTTCTAAACCTCTTTTTCCCCACAATCCTCATTCTTTCACACTATCATTATTTCTGTATCTCAAACAAAAGATGTTGTTTAGATGTTTGTCATTTATTTGGGACACTAAAACTATCCATTTTTTATATCAACTTATCTGTCTCAAAGTAAATGCTCACAGTGGACAAACACAGTCTTATCTTTTACATCCTTTCCATTATGATCCCTCAACTTACTACCTACACATTGAATATTTCAGAGGCCACATATATAAACAGTAGACAAGTACAAAGTTTTCCATTATATTTTAAAAATGCGAATAACATTACACCTTTATGACTTCCAGAGGCACAGTACACAGTGAAGTCTGAAGAAAAATAATATTAAAGTCCAATTTTATTTGTTTTCTACAGTCAACATTTGAAGGTCGTGGTGCACTCACTAGTTTCTTCCAAGGCTTTAAACCGCAGGTGTGATGACAACAGAACCAAATCCATTACAACAAAGCAAATTTGCTTGATGAAAACCATGATATGGTTAAAAGGTACAGAAAAAGTTAGTTAGTGGACCTTTTAAGTTATAGGCCTACTGCTTTTTTTTTCATCAAACCCCTATTTCTTATGCATTGCATTGTGGAACAATGTGTCCATCCACACAACAATCAATAATCAACCAATTTTAGCATCATGTTGACATTTTTAATTTACTTTCTACATATATCTTGAACAGTTTTCATTCTTGTTGTTTTATACATGTGACCTCTGGTTTCTGTAGTCAATCACTTTGCACAGGCAGTCATGTTACACCGGGACAACAGGCTGTTTCTCACAGTTCGAGGTTGGAGTCACCAAATGATCTTAACGTCACTAACAGGCTTATCTCTTATCTGTCCTGCTGCCTTTCTCCTCTGCAGACTCTCACAACATCCCAGGGGACCACGCAGAGGCCCAGTCGTCTGGTCTTCACAGATGTAGCCAAAGCTCTCAACGCTTAACAGTTCTCTTCCATTAGTTTATTTCAGTTTGCGGGGGCCACTGGCTTCATCGAGATATAGACTGTTGCTCAGGAAGGAAAACAAAGGGAAAACTGGACTGTTTTTGGGAACAACTGGAGCTTTGGTGAATGTTTTTATCACCAGGACTTTGTACGTGTGAAGGCAGTGGTTTTCAAATTATCAGAAAAAAAGTAGGGTGCATGTATAAGGGAGCATAACGGGAAGCATCACATATGATCTTGCACTGTTATCATTTGGCGCACAAAATGCAGTGTGATGCACTTTTCTTAAAATCATGTTGTGTCATTGTTGTTAAAATGTTCGGTAGCTTGTCAGTGAAGTTCTTCAGAGCTTTGATATCTACTTCCATGTTTGATATGAGAGGAGTGTAAATTTGTGTTATACTGATTTTGTGGTCTTACGTCTCTGACAAGCTTGAACACTGGATGTGTTAGCATCCTTAAGTGAACTGTCCCTCTTCATTTTGTTTCTTCTTTATTGAGTAATGAAGGATTGATTCTGTCTATATACATTAAAACTATTTAAACCAATCTGCGAAAAAAAAGGTGTTTTGCTGAACAAATCTGTAAAAAAAAGAGAGTTGGTAGGTGTGATATTTTATTGATAAGCGATAAAGAAGCAGAATAACATAAATCACATGGTAAAGAATCATAACAAAATATATATCACAGGTTTGTGAGTTCTATTAATGAAGTGGATGAGGACACATCAATAATATAACTACAAAAGGGTGTTAAAGGTAAGGCATAAAATATGATTTCTCAAGTTACACTTCAACTTTTCAATAGTTGAAAATGGATCAAGTACTGTATGTAACTATATCACTATAAAAACGTTGTCCCCATATAGAGAGTAAATATCCAGACACAGCTTGTGTAAAATAACAAACACTGACTCAGCTGTAGTTAAATTAAGAGGCACCCTTCAGGTTGACTTCCATTCATTTATGGTGATATGAATGTAGTGAGATGAGATGAGTGGACTACGACAGTACTAGTTTGACAGTTAGTTCAAGATTTCATCCACATCGCCTGCAGGTCTGACGGAACAATTTCGGGCACAAGTGACCAAAAACTTTCTCAGTCATGAACCAGGCTTGTTTGTTTTCAGAGGTAGTCCAGAGGGCAAAAAGAATGTAAAGTCAATGCAGTTGAACAAGAAAACGTACATGTCTGTAAATGAACTGAGCTCTTCTGGCAGCAATTTAGTAAACAATGCTGAAATACACAAAATTATTGGGATACAACATATCATCGGTGATAAAATAAGCACGTTTTAGTGAAGAAACACTTGATATATACAGTAAATGATGTGATATTCAAGTCATGTAATAAACAACTAGTAAGTGATATGTAGTTCATGCTGGATAAATTTTTACCACGCATGATGACACAGGGACAGAATCTTAGGAAGTTGAAGTATTTGCATTTGTCTTTCAGTTTAAGTGCTGAAATCCTGACAAAGTCTCAAAAACATTGTTTGTAAAAACAGATTAGAGGCTGGAAACCTCTTTACCTTTGATTTTTAAAACAAAACTATTTGTTAATCTATAGAAGAATTCCTCCAAAATACAAGAATTACTCTATATGACTAGTTGTTAAATTGCTAAATTATGAATAAATGCTAAATTATTACTGATTCGTTACAGATAAAATAGACAACATTTTTAATTAGTTAACCTTAAAGTGTGGGTTCTCCAAAATTACATAAAAATGTTTACACTGAACCTTTAGTGCTCTAGTTGTATCTAATCATGCAGGTAGTTTTGGTTTCTTTTTTCTATCTTCAAACCTGATCAAATTAAACCAAAGCTATCTGCACGGCAGGATACCATGTAAAATACCGTGTAGTTCTGTAATCAGGGTGAGCTAACCTTTTAAAGCAAGACTATGTAACTTTTGCAAGAAACCCCACAAATGAAAAGTTGAATTAATAAGCAATAAAACACCCCCTCAATTCAATACAGTCAGGGGTTTTCCTGTTACAGCCTCACTTGCTCTGGTGTGACCAGTAACTTATGGTGGCTGTTAGCTGACTTTATAACATTCTACTTGTGCTATTGTTATGCTATATTTTAGCATTTAGCATTTACCCATTACCCATGTCATATTGTGGCCAGAGTGGTCGTTGTTCACTAAAAGTTATTGCCTTGCTTTTAACAGCCAAACAAGAAAGGAAGGTACAACGTTCAGACAGAGACAGGGTTACTGATGCAGTGTTGAGTGTTAATTAATTACCCAGAATTTATTTGGCAATTTTTATACAAGGTTACTGTGTTGACGGTGTCCTGTTGTTTTCCATAACTGTCATGTATTTCAACACTGTGTGGTTATTTGCTGCCCTTCCTTTCAAATCACATGAATTAAGAGTGTCACACATACAATTTACAGTGTATGAATCTGAACATACATGATGTAGTAAAAATGAGAAAGGAGTATCAGACCCAAAAAACAAACATAAAAAAAAACCCAACAAAAAAAAAACAAAAAACGAAACAAGTATTTCATATGGAACTACACGCTAAAAAGCAAGTATTTCATCAAGTTGTTGTAAACTATTGGCTGCATTTTATTTCCCAGGAAAACAAACCAAGTCTCACTTCAGCTTTTAACGAATACAGTTTTTAAAAGAAATGACACTGATGCTTTTATTTGTACACCGATAGTAAAAATCCTCTACTGGCGTGTAACGTCTGTGTGTTTGTTCGTGTGTAGTCCTGAAAGTTCTTTGCCTGTCTGTGTTGTATATCTGCGCATGAACCTGCGTGTGTGTTTACAGTAAGTGTGTGTGTCACTGCTGATGGAGTGGAGAATTACTTTGTTTGAGATCTTCAGTCTTTTGTGTTACTGAGGTAGAATGAGAGATTAAGAAACTGAGGGTAACTGAGGTTTAAATGAGGTCTTTGTGTCAAGGCATACTGGTAATGTCAAATACAGATCAGAAATGCACAACAAACACAGCACAATAATTATTACTGAGTAGACTGACAACATGTTCCTGAATAGTTTTGTACCTGAGGTTTCAATATGGTGTAAAAGCACTGTAATAGTGAAATCCTGAGTGTGGCAAAATGACTTGTCAACACTGTTGTTGACTACAGTATGTGTGAAGGATTGTTTCCAAAGTGAGATATCCATTCATACCTTTGGATGATTTTTTTTTTCCTAAATCAGCTGCTGGTTGGAAGGACAAAAAAACAAACAAACTGCATTTCACTGAGGTTATTAACTATCTGAATACTTTTGCTTACATTGACATTTGAGCTATTTTAATCAATGCAAAGTACACATGACATTTTCCCCCCTCCAAAGTTGGATATTTCATTTTGGAGTAAAACCTTTCACATCTCCTTTCATAATAATGACTTCAGCGCACCATGTTTATATTGTAACATTGCTAAAAATGTCACCGTCTTGCTCCCGTTTCATATGAGGATTCATGACACTTGAGTCAGAAACATGTTTCGATAAAACGGTTCAGTTTGGTTCCTTTTTTTTTTTCTTTCTTTCTTTCTTTCTTTACCCCCCGCGCCCCCTGCTCATCTTAGCCTGCAAACCTGTCCCCTCTTCACAGAACCAGCACACACACTCATGCACACAGACACACTCATGCTGAGGGGGTTTAAGGAAAGCAGGCGTCCTTAAAGGAACAATCCAAAAATTTGGGAAATATGCTTCTTAGTTTTCTTGCAGAGCGTTAGAGCGTATTTCCCAAAATGTGAAAACTATTACATTGAAGAAAAAAAAAAGCCCCATCAAATTCTTCAATGTTAAAACAGAGATGTTCACCTAACTCTTATAGAGAACCAACAAATCCAGGGTTGAGTATTCCATTTGAAAAGAAACCACTTTCTGCAATGATTTTGTGTGTGTGTGTGTGTGTGTGTGTGTGTGTGTGTGTGTGTGTGTGTGTGTGTGTTCCTGAATCCTCATCACAGATAGGCGTCAGATTGTACCCCTGTTTGTTTGAGGCCAAACCTTGAGGTAGGTAGAGAGGTGTCCTATCTACTCCCCTTCCTCCTGTGCTGGAACCTGAGATGACGAGGGCTGTGAGGGACCCTCCTCAGCCTCTTCTGAAGGGCCCTGGAACAGGCAGGGGACCAAAAACCAGTTTGTCTGTTATTGTCTGATCTAGTCTAGTGACTCATTATGCGCAAGGTAATGAATCAATACTAGAAAGTACACGACAATACAAGAATGAGTGTAAAAAAAAATTAATTCAGTGATTGCATGCGGGGAAGTAGGTCCAGCTGTCAGACCTAGAAATGTGAGGAAGATGACGGTTATGTCAGGAAACCAAGAAGACAGAGGAAGAGAGCAGTTAGATCAGGTTTCCCCTCTCTACATTGACTCATTCTTCCCCTTCATGTGCGTGCCTCTGAGAAAGGGAGTCTGTCTCAACGGTTTCAGTTCTTGAAGCATCTTAACCTCTTTGACAAACTGCTCAGTGGAGAGGATGCGATAAGGCAGACGAGGGGCATCAAGAGAACTGGTCTGCTTTGGTGACAACTGTCATACAATGTTTTTCGTTTGAAAAATGAAAAAGTTAAGTTTCTAAGAAACACTGAGTGTATATATATTCACCAAAACTGGATGTCACAAAAGGATGTTTGGAGGTGTATCTGGGGAATTCAACGCTGCCATCTGTGCATTTCCAAGAATTCGTCATATCCTCATGAAGTCAGTTTACATAAAGCACGCGGACTTTGTGCATTGGTTGTTTGCTGTGTACACCGAATGTGCCAAAGCAACAGCAATTTTATACAGTATTTGCTTATATTGTAATCAGTGTCAAAAGATTCAGAGGATTTATTTGTCACACACACAAGTAATACGTGCAGTAAAATGCAATGTGGCATGTGCTAAAAGACTAAAGAAATATGGCCTAAAGGTTAGAACTGCAAGCTAAAAAGTGTGAATATATTCAAAAAGGTAAACATGCACATAAGTTGCAAGATATATGGAGGACAGAGTTCTCTCCAAAACTTTTTCTGAGTTTTTTTCTGTGTTGGACTTCTGACAACAGAGATGTTTTCCAAAGAGCAGACGCTTAAATATTTTAATATGGTTTTGCATTAAGCTATACTAGATTCTATGAGGACAGACAAATCCATACACACTCAGTTGTATGTTATCATCCTCTGTCTCCTTTCTATTAATAAAAGATAAAACTATAATTCTGAAATAAATCATACCTTGATAGGTTTTAATGTTCTATATTTGTTTTAGAGAGGTGCTGATTCAGCTTCATTCTAATTTCGGAGGCTGCTGTTGAATTGTATTCCATTATTCTGAGCGCTGTTTCCAATATTTTGTCCACCCCATTTATATCAGTGAGGGTAGACTAAATACACGCCGCATCATTTTTTGCCAGGTATACCGAACAAACAACTGGGTGTAAAGTGATCCCACTGGAAAAATGGTTTGTTTACTTCAGCCTCACTATCAAATGTACAAATGAGTACATGAATGTAGCTTAGGTTTGATGCTGAACATAAGCCCTGTGCTTAACACCAGCTTATGATACTCACAAACAAGATCAACTGTGAGGTCAACCCTGTATTTACAAGTCATACAGCACAGACGTAACTGATATTAGTCAAAAGGTAAACGTGTGACACAAAATGAGATTTCTGTTGAACTGAAGCAGAGGCTGCATTCTTCCACAGTCACTAACTCTCAAAGTGAGAGTTTGATGTAATACTAGATCATTTAAAAATTGAAAATAAAAAACATTAAAGGGTGGTAATGATTTAGCAAATCTGCAGTGGAGGAGTGTTACATTGTACACACTCAGGGGCTTAAGGGATTTAATGCTTCATAATGATTAAGATTGAACAAACCCACTGCTCAGTTTATTAGATTATGAGCCATTTGATATAAATTTTACTTAATAGGTCGGAAGGCTCTGAAAGTTAACTATTTCACTTTGTTTCACTGAGCTAAACACAAAAATGCCTTAAGTGTCCCTTAAGACATGAAAAACCCCATCTAAATCAAAACAGTCATTTTCCAGTTGAGTAGAAGAAACCTGTGGCTTCAAGTGCTGCATCAAAACAAAACTGGACCACCCCTCTGCCTTTTAAAGATTTAGTTTTCCTCACCTGCTGCTCTTCAGTTACTTCTTGAACTACTTTCTGAGGCTGTGGAGAGACAGAGGCGACAAAATTAATTAAACATGAAGGCAGAGTAGCCCTCAAGGGCCGTACAGCTCCAGCATGCACAGACACCCTGCTGGCTCTGGACATATATTATATTTTTACAATTAACTCCATGATGTCTGCAAGTGTCAGCGATTGCGCCATACCCATTTCCTCGGTCGCCCACGTGGTCGTCTCTCCCCAACGGGCTCTACTTTCTGGGGAAGAACAGATGAGTGTTTAAAAGAGAGGTTCATATATTTTAACAATCATATAACAGTTTTCATTTGAATAATGTAGTTTTAAAAAAAAATGAATTAGCTTCTAGAGGTCAATGGGAAACATCTCACTCAGGAGCTACAGAGGTTTTGTTCTATAAATTGTAGCAATAACAACTAAAAAAGTTATTTGGAAATACTTAGATTTCAGGTGCATGACCTACATGGTTAGCACTGTCAACAATTGCAATAAAACTACTCTCTTCGGTGGTAAACAGGAAGACAAATGTCTTTTCTTCATTTCAAATCATCCTCTGAAATATTAATATGTTCAGCGAATGCTTAGTTGTGAATTGCATGGGCTTCTTTACATGATCCATCTTTTATGTTGTGCTTATCTGAACATAAGCGAGGAACTCTCACAGCCAGAGTAAAATATCAACATTTAAGTACAACGGTTTATGTCTTTTTTTATCCATCTCCTCTGAGAAATGTTCAGTTTTCCCAAGTCTGAAAACACAAACAATGGATTTGTGTGACCGTCTAATAGCAAGGTTCATACATGAAATACCTCACATGGCTGCAACAAGTTTAGCAAGTTCAGTTAATTGACAATAATTGTTTCTCAAAAACTAGTGATGACAGAAAAACAACCAAATTTACCATGTGAGTCTCCTCTATGTCTCTCCCAACAAAACGAACGAATGACAGAAGTGTGTTTAAGAAGACCGGTTGATTTACAGAGTTACACTGTGCATCTACATCATGTTACAAATGCAGACACAGTTCCTGCCAATCTTCTGATTTGAATGGAAAGCTGCCAGCAGGGGCAGTGCAACAACTTTCCCCCCTGAGTCAACAGACCTCTTCAAATCCTCAAACCTGAACTTTAAGAGTGGATTTAGCAAAACTACAAAGTGCATCTTTATTATTTGTATACTGACATATCCTTCTATGGCCATGTTGCTAATAATGATGCATCTGAAGGCATGTTTCATAACTTATGATTGGTTGATTCATAGATGAGTCTATAATGAGAAAACTTATCAGCAGTTACTGTGATAACTGATTTGTTATTGAAGTCATTTTTAAAGCAACTTTCCAAATGTACACGTTTGGTGTTTTTCTTAGTCGTATTTGATAGTAAATTGAATATCATCGAGTTTTGGACTGTTGGTTAATGTCAACCTGGAATTTTTGACTGTTTTGTGGTATGTTATACGCTAAAAAATTAACAATATAATTGAGAAAACAAACGGATAAACTATTAAAAAACATTTATAGTTGCAGCCCTAGCATGTTTGCACACCCCCAGTAAATTCAGTCTCAATACCTGACGTAAAAATGATTACACACTAAATTCCAGTCAATGTCCAGAAGTTAAAAAGGGCAACTTGATTTCTGCAGTTAGGCGCCTTTAGCAGCAGTGATAGAGGAAAAACTTGCATCTTTTACCTGAGTAAGAGAAGCTATACCACAGTGTACCAGTACTGCACCATGAGTAAAAGTCCTGCATCCAAAATATTACTTGATTTAAAGCACATACAGTAAGTATGATCAACAAAATATACAGTAAATGTGGAAAGTTAAACATGCAACAATATATATATATATATATATATATATATATATGCAACAATATATACTTATATATATATATTTATACTATTGGATAATAATCACTGATGCATCCATGTGTAAGGAGCATTTTAATGTTACAACTGGCTGAGATGGAGCTAATCTCAACTGTTGAATATATTGCTGATCTACTGCATGATATTTTAGAAGAAGAACGTTTAGTGTGTAAAATGGTGAACTGCAGAGTAATTAGTAACTACATCTGTTAGACCATTGCACTAACAGTACAACATGTCCCTTTGAAAAGTGGAATAAAAGAATAAAATTGCATAAAATGTTAAAATGTACAATTTGCAACCTGTAAAGTTCAGTATCTGAGTAAATGTGCGTTTCAACCACTGTGCAGCAGACATGATGTGTTTTAATAGTGTTGTAGTGACAGTATTCATAGAAGATTTTTTCTATTTCTGTGTAAGTCAATCTTTCATTGGTCAGAATAATAATAGCTACCTCTGCACTGACCAGTCCATCTGTGAGCACTGACTAACAGCTTGTCTTTTCTCTATTTTCAGCTGACATTTGGCCTCACCATGACTGCTGACTGTCTTAAAGTGCCCCACAAAAGACATAAATCTTTGCATTTCAAGACCTATTACTTGCAAAGCTCTCAGATGCACTAGAAAGATAAGCCTGTTAAGATCATATATGGTATGTTATAAACATGTCGACAGCACTTCCATCAGTTGTAAGACTTAAATTGGCTTCTTCACAGACCTTCTCAAATTCACTAATGATTATTTCCTTCTAACAAGATATTCTAATGTTAGGATATTCACCAGAAATTCACAACAACATTTCTCCTGATTTATCAAAAATGCATAAATAGGGTGTCCAAAAAAGTTTTGACCGGCAAAGAAGACTGTAGTGTTTAGTGCAGAAACAAAGTGCTGTTCCAAACACAAAAGTTAAAGTTCAAATAAATATTTAATATCATAGGTAGACTGGTCAGTTTCAACCTTCAGTGCAGTTCTGGGGCCTTTGTTCTTGCTGCCTTTCGGTCGTCCTCTCGGTCGCTTTGGAGTCGGTGGTCCAACAGGCTCCTGTCGAGAGAGATGGCATGCGAAGCCATGACTAACCAATGAAAAACGTTTGCATGAGCTTTTTTCTACAGCCAGGAGATAAAATTACGCAACGATTTATGGTGAACGACAGAGCTGATTGGCTTCATCTTTTAAAGACTGAAGTCCTTACCTGCTGCTGTTTCCGTGGCCGACCCCTCCCCCTGCGCGGAGGCTCAGGAGGTGACTGGGCAGTGCTCGGCTGGGGAGACGGCTCTTTGGTCCCACTGTTACTCATGCCTGTGTCTTGCCACCTGCTTTAGAGAGTGTGGGCATCAAAGCCTGGAGGAGCGGCCTCGAGGGCTTAAAGAGGAGAAGACCTGAGTATCAGGAGCTGGAGATGTGAGCAGAGAAATGTGAAAAAAAAATTACAACTCTGGAATGTATAAGAGGCAATCATCTTTGACGAAGTTAAGATAATCAGCTATACGGTACAACTTTTCTTTTTGCACAATTACCACAGTGAGTTTCAATCAGTGCTTAATGTATCATTAAAAAGATCATTCAGAACCACACAGGACCCTTTTCCAGGAGCAAGCGTGGGAACTGCTTATGCATAAGCCTTGGCACCAGGTTCATCGGAACACAGTCAGGGGTCTGGCAAATGCAGGGAAACATGAGAGTGGTGTGCAGAGACTAAAAGTAGCACAGATATTCACAACTCAATCTACCATCCAAAATCTGCATCTACTGTACTTTACACTGTCTTTCCATCTGCCCTCTGTGAGGTATTTCTCAATGGGGTCGTGCATGTGGTGGGTGTGCTGATGCTGCGACATCTGTTACTGTAAAACTTGTGCCACTGAGACAATAATTTTGAGCGCACAAACACAACACAACACCAATACACAGGACTAACACACACACACACACACACACACAAACTACTACTACATGCAAAATGTTAATGGAAAGAATCACGACAATATGAAATCTGAGTTTGCAGCCTACGGCAAACTTCAGTGCTGCAACAACAGAAAATTCATCTGCAACTACTCTGATGATCGATTAATAATCTAAATAAAGTTTCAAGCACAAATGCAAAACATTCTCTAGTACTAGTTTCTCAATTTAGAGGAATTGTTTTGTTAGTTGCTATTTGTTTTATGTAACAGTAAACTGAATCTGAAGGATCATCTTAGGAAATTGCAATAGACATTTTATTTATCTGACATTTTTATGCACCAAATTAATAACTGATTCATCTGTCAATGGGATTAATCATACAGTGAATAAAATGTTGGAAAACAAGAAATTAAGTGAAGAAAGGCAGCTATTACTTACATTTGAGAATCTCAGACAAAGGAACAGTTCATATTTTTGCTTTGAATAATGACTAAAAGGATTAATTGATAATCATAATAATTTTCTGAAAATTTTCTGTTGGTGGACTAATCAATTAATCAGCTAATAGTTTCAGCTCTAGTCACACTCCAGTAAAGTTATCAGAGGCCTGATTAACAGCACCCCAAATGTTACCAGTGTCTATGCTTCTGTTGTGGTACCTTCTTAAAAGGTAATAAATATATTGTTAACTTTATTCTTTTACTTTGTATTAAGAGAGTGAACAATAAATGTCTATAATAAATGTCTACTCTTTCTGGTAGTAATGTCCCAAGGTGGCCGTTTACCATAACGCCTAGCTCTGTAAGGAATGTGCCAAACACTAATTGCCAACACAGCCTATCAAAACGGCCGCACTGAAGCAGGAAGTCGGAGTAATTTGAGAAATCTACGTCCTCGTTCAAACGATTTAAAGCCAAATGAGACGCACGACGTCGTCTCGTCGCTTATAAACTCATTTCGGAGCAACACAACAAGCGTCCTGCATTTCTCCTGCAGCAGCAGACCGTCCTCTCAACCAGTCTGTGTTTGGCAGTCAAGTACGGGACTGAATGTACTTTTTGCATATGGGCGGCAATTGCAACCATAAAAACACATTCTTTTACAGACTTTAAGGAAGGTGCGTAAAGCGTTGCTGAAGCGGACCCGCGAATGCAAAGCTTCCAGGCTTTGGTTGAAGTTAGCTGGCACATGTTAACGGCGAACAGTCGAGGCCATCAAGAGTTTTAAAGCGAAGAGTCGGCGCTCACTAACACAACATCCCCCTGCTTCCATCACTTGCGCAATCGATCTCAAATGTGTTGGGTTTTGGAGTGATAACAACAGGTCCGCCGCCGAAATGGATGAACCGAGAGCCAGCAAAGAGCTGCAAAAACTTTACCAAGACGGACAAAAGCAGGCAACACAGGTGCAAAAGCTCTCCTTTCAGAGCAGCCACACAACATACATGCATACATTCAGGCTATAGGCTCCATGTTGAGGCTCAGTAATCCTGTTCATGCAGGCAGCGCCAAATGCAACACAATGAGAGCAGAAGCTGTTGAACTTACCTTGAGTCGGTTTGCAGTTTTACCTGGAAGTTCACACAGTCGGCTCACTTTGTGCTCCTGCACAACTATGAAAATCTTAGTATATCGACCGTCTCATTGGCTGGAATGAAAGGGTAATCTCTCTCTCTCTCTCTCTCTCTCTCTCTCTCTCTCTCTCTCTCTCTCTCTCTCTCTCGCTCTCTCTCTCTCTCACTCACTCTCACTCTCTCCCTCCTCCTCTAATCGGAAATGTGTGTGATCCCCCCAGACGTCCAGTCACGAATACCCCAGTTGCAGTATAATGGGGGGTTGTAGCAGAGCAGTATGCATTGCATACTTTCTCTATTAAAGCATGTTTCAAGAAAGAACGAGGGTAGGAGGGTTGAAACAGAGGACCCCGCCCCGAAAAGCTCACCCACTTGAGAGAGGAAAAGAGAGAGGGAGAGAAGGAGACGGGCATCAGACAGGAGCTCGGGTAGAGTCTGGTTCCGGGGTTCCCAAAGTGGGGTCCGGGGGGCTGGGAAGTTCCCCACAGAAGGGAGGAAAAAGTTTTGCTTCAGTGGAAATGATGGTGAGATCAGACAGATTCGAGCAGAGGTTTCAATCTCTCTCTCTCTCTTTCTCTCTCTCTCTGTCTCACTCTCTCTCTCTCCCTGCTGTTATCTCCCCACCTACAGTGTTAGAGATATACTCCTGTAAGTCAGAACAAAGTACAGAAATATCAAATGAGGTTTCAAAAAACAAAATCTGCAAGGCAGCTGTCTGATATGCATTTGTTTGAGAACCAATTTGCCCCACTTTAGTTAATTTATCATCATGCACTGCATGCAAACATACATTAGAACTGAGAAGCAGTGAAAAAAACAGATATATTTGTTCCTCCTGTGTGAGTAAAAATAGACGCCATTAGACGCCATCTCCAGTCATTCATTCTTTTATTCTATTATTCTCTAACCAGTTAATCTATGTATATATATATATATTTATTATTATCATTTTAAAATGTATTTAAATAAAATTTTAAATTCATATCTTAGAGTGGACAGTTAAGTTGAATAGTTTTGCTGCATATTTAGGTTTATTGTCAGCTCCTTGGGATTTTCAAGCGGTAACTTTGTAAGTTTGCACAAACTGATAAATACAGATGGAAATGTTTGAACCACGGTGGATACACATTCCAGGGACGGCTAATACTGGACTGCTCATGGAGTCATGTCAGGTGAGCATGTTGGCATGAGACCAGAATATAAAGCTTTAAGTTACAAAGATGAAGCTCAGCACATGATTTGAACGGTTTACAGTGTCAGTTTCATGATGTTATTCTGAAATTCGCAGACTGAATAATATCCTGTGAAAGCAGAATATTACAATGAGTTAAAAAAAAAAAAAGTATTATACAGAAATACAGAAAATGTTTATCTCTTCCAGCCTTCACATAATTTCTCTGGTAATAACCATAAGATACATAAAACAGAATAACAAAGAAATCATTTGCATATTTTTGTAGCAGCATTTATGTTGCTGAGAATCGGTAGTCAAATATGAATTTGATTAGTCACCCACTATAAATATTACTAAATGAAAGTGAACAGAATGACACTAAAACCTAAACTGTCAACCCGCCATTTCTAAATGCTGTGTAAAGCAGGAGGATAATTGGCCATCAGTAGTTAGCTGTAGACATGTTCTACACTTCAGTCCCATTAAGTTCCTATTTCTGCAAAAAAATAAAATAAAATAAAATGTCAGTATCTTCTGATTGTTCAAGACAAAAGAAAATGGTTGCTGTGAAAATTACCAGGAGAAAGAAACAAAGATATAATGGGGAATAAGAAAAAGGGGGTGGGGGGGTGGGGTGTTTGCATGAGAGAGTATTGTGTGTGTGTGTGTGTGTGTGTGTCTATGTGTGTGTGTCAGACAGAGAGAGTTCAGTGGCCTTCTGCAGGCTGGTGTGTCTGAGATTCGGTTGGACTCTGATCTTGAGGTTTATTTAAGCTGAATTCCGTGGGCTCATCAGGACCGGGTTACAAAAATCCTCCTATAGAACTAGAAAGAATGTGCAGCGCATACAGTTCTGCATAAGGCACAAAGGCATGTCTTTAGAGGTGGGGGCAGGCATCAAAAGACAGGCAGAGAAGGGATTTCTTTAGAGGCTGGGGGCAAAGAAGGTATTTTGGAGCTCCATTCAGTGCCAGGGAGAGGAGGGGAGGCATTTTGTGGTAAAGGGTGCATTTCCAGGGGATGTTAGGAACTTAAAAACTGCTGCAAACCCCGCACACCTCCTCTGTTATTGGAAGTTAATTAGCTCCAGTCATTCTTCTCTGAACCCGAGGGGCTACAATTAGTTTTGATCCTTAAATCCTTTTAGTTTTTGGTGAATAAATAACAAAAACTGGCAACACTTTACTTTAACTCTGCCTATTTAGCATTTATAGGCAGCACATAAACATTTAATAAAATTGTTGACTACACGCTATAATGTAATTGTGAGTCAACAACTATAACTCCTGCTGTGGGCTCCCATAAGTTGAGGCTGGTGTATAAACCAGTAATGAAAGACAATATAGTAAAACACAGTTGTAATAATAGAAAATATGTCTTTTGAAAAGTAAATATGTAAAAGAAATGCTTAAAAGTGCTTGCAACGACATCATAGTGTGTTAAAAAACAATTTATTTAATGTTTGTATACTGCTTATAAATACTAAACAGGGGTGCCGAAAGTAAAGTTAAATTTGAACAACTTTACATACATTTTTATGCTAAATCATGTCTGCATGGCTCTTTTTTTGTTTGGCACCTTAGCGCACATGATTGTGTTTTGGGAATGTAAATGTTTTTTTTCCTATTCTGTCTTGTGCAACAGGCCCTTCATGAATTTAAAATGGCTCTACTAATACACCTAAAAGAATCAACTGAATGTACATGGATGTAAAAATTAACTTCTTAACTATTTCTCCATGAAGAAGCGTATCTACCTGCAATGTTTTCTACATCTTTCAATGAAACAACCATGTTAAAACTCATAATAATAAAATCCGATATAATAAACTGTGATTATACATTTGGTGTATTATTTATATTTTTAATTGTAAAAGAAATATCTGAGAAGAACAAAAATGTAAATGGTCAACTGAATAACTGCTCCAAAGGAGTTTAAAAGTGGATTTGATCAGTCCCTTGTTGGATGGCGGTACCCGTCTTTAAGCCATCTCCATGACCTTCTTGATCCAGTCCACATAGACAGAGACGCGGATGAAGATGTTGGGCTGTCCCGCGTGTCCACAGCGCCTCATGGGGATGATCACACCCTCAAGTACCCAGCATTCCCTGTTCTGACACGCCAAAGGGCCGCCATAGTCTCTCTGCAGACACACAGGAACAACACTCTAGAGTCATTATTTGTCTCTGTTATGACTGACTGTCACTGCTGAGGTTGGAAACATCTTGCAGTCACATCTTGTCCAGTCCACCTCCATTATCCAAATGGTGAATGTGTTTGATTTATAGGAACATATAAATAGCTATATGGTCTTTGCTTAAAGTGATTTTCATCATCAAAAGATTTTCCTCACTATCAGTATTTGAACTTTTTTAGCACTCTCTCAGCACTTTCTTCTTGGCCATTAAAGGAATAGTTTAGAACGCATATTCGCTTCAACACTTGGCCTGCCTCTGCCCAACGATAACACAACCCACCTAACAGCGCATCTAAAGCTGAAAGGCACATAAGCCCCTTTACACCACAAACTGCCATATTTAAACTTCCGTTTCGTTTTTGCATGGATTGAATGTAAATATGAAGCTAGAGCCAGCAGCCAGCTAGCTTAGTTCACCACAAAGACTGGAAAAAGCAAATTTTGTTCTTTATACGTATAACGTAATATATTGAGCTTTATAGATTCTAGTAGGCGGAGTTCGTTACCTGCAGTGTTTCCCTCTGTTTCCAGTCTTTGTGCTATAAGCTAAGCTAAACAGCTGCAGGATGTAAGTTCATATTTAAAACTCAGGTATGACAGTGGTATGTCATCTAACTCTCTGGAAGAAAGAAAATGTTGAACTATTCCTTTAATGCCATTGCACCTTGTAGCAGTTGCCAAAGAAAATCAGTATTGGGGCATCCTGGTGACCTAGTGGTTAAGATGTATACCATATTAACAACAATATCTCTGGTTTGGCCTGGTGTGTCATGTCTGCATACTGTAACCAATCTACTTAAGGCAAAATCTCAAAAAGAAAATAGTAATTGCAGAAATTCTGCTGCAGCTCCAAATGATAACTACTAATATTTCACTCAAAAACTGACAGCAAAGCTTTGACGCCGGGCACGTTTGCATGGACACCTACCTCACAGGCACCTACTCCACCCTGGAAAGAGCTTGTGCACATCTCATTCTCACGAACACGACCTCTGAAGTATTTGTTGCATTCCTTGTTACTAAGAACTGGTATGTGGGCCACGTTAAGGACAGTCTCATCTCCAGTCCCTTGAAAAACATAAAGGAGGAGAAACGAGTTAGCAGCTAATGTGTTTAGAGAGATGGAGGAAAAGAAAAGTAAGGTGGACAGATGTTGAATGGTTCTGGAAATAGCAACGCCATCTGTTGCTCAACGATCTGAATAGCTTTCTCTTTTTGATGCAACATTACTTCAAGGGCATGAACAAGATGCTTGTCCCAAGGAATCTATTATTAATCACTGCAAAAGAAGCATATTGTAGTTGCATGAAGCGCAGCATGTAGTGAATTCAGTGTCAAGTTATCATTTCTAAAGGATTATACTTGCCTCTCGTCTCACCCCATCCTGCGATCTCACAGGTCGTCCTCTCAGCTACAATGTAGCGCTCAGGAGGGAGGCAGATCTGAGAGACACGCTCATTAAACTGGGCAGGGCTAAAGAAAGAAGAAGGAGATTACTGGTATGTCTGAGCGTGTGTGTGTGTGTGTGTGTGTGTGTGTGTGTGAGCTGAGGACATTTTGACAGTACACACTATTCCAGTTGTAGCATGACCAACTGAGACTCTGAGGGCCCGCAGACGATCTTGGTGAGAGGGATGGTTTGTACACCGGGCTCTCCTTCTTGTGGATCACGAAACAGTGTCCCCATCATGGCCGAGTACCCGGGCAGGTCCACGTAGCTGTGAATACATGCAGACAAGTAACATGGAAATA